TATGATGTGGCGGATTTGTACGCAGGTGGGAATATAATGGGGAAAATCGCAAATAATATTTCCCTCACACGAGTTTCCATTATCGAATTCAACTTGTACTTGAATTCCCTCGGCGCAATCAAGACTTCCATTAAAAGTCGTTTAGACATTTATACCGTATAATTTTCCGTTAAACAAGGAATAGATTACATAGAAATTAGTCAAAACCCAACTTGGTAATAATGATAATTTGATATTTCTGAAAACCTATCCTCACCTGAAAACGTTATTATTATAGTTATCGATACGAAGGCCATCAAATAATAATAAAAAATTATATACATAATACATGAAATAGTTTTTGTTATGGCCTATTTATATATCCATCGACTTATTGGGATTCCATTATATTATCTAATAAATCACATTACATAACGATGTTTCCATATAAGATTAGTCAACTTTTGCGTGAGAGTAAAAAAAAATTTATTTATATCTGGGCGATAAGGCCTACACGGATCTATATCAAAATTCCGACAGTATCTTTTATTAATTGATAATGTCGGGATTATGGTTGAGGGAATTTCGAATATCGGGATTTTAATTGTCTGGATTTGGATTGGTTATTTTTTCTTTTGTGTGTCTGTAATGAACATTATTAAATATGTAGCTAATTTGTTACATTTTAACTCTTTGAGAGGCGGTGGTACATGTAATACACCACCTTTTGAACATTTTGAGGAAATTTGTTGGGTCTAGAAATTTATGAATTTCTGTCCCCTCAAAGAGTTAACACACGAAGTGTATGTAAAAACGTGTAATAAAGAAAGAGAAATTATAAATTCCATTGAAAGAAGTCTTGAATAGCGAGACAGTCGCTTTAATCGAGGGTTAAATATGTTGAAGGGTGTCGCGAGGGTGCGTTAGTCCAATGTAAACAACTTTTAATAATTGACTTCTGTGTCGCTTACTACCCCTATCGCATTAAAAACATCCACTTAAAAGCCACCCTTTTCCTCCACGTTTCCCATATATATAACAAACTAATGATTCCGCGTCCAGCACGCCCTCAGCTCGCCTGTTTTTTCTTGCTCGCTTGTTAGATGTTTTGTTGCCTTTAACTACCATTAAGTTATTAATCCGGGACAAAACAAGATAAAGAGGTTCTTATACGAAATAGCCTGAAACAAACTACCTACTAAATTGTAAATATTAATTTAATTAATAATGCCTTATTTATTTGTAAATTATCCCGTCCCGAAAAAACTAATGAAAAAAAACGATCAAATATGTCTTAAAAATAATGTTGTGTACTATTTTCTTTTTAATTTGCTGAATGAAAATTTAGTTTTGGAAATTTTCAAACCGTACTGTAGTGAATCCGGACTGACCGAAACCGTACTATGTTCAATTTTTTTTTGTTATTTAGTTACCCTAAATAGCAACAAGTGATTTGATTGTTAATTATTTCTTGTATTACAACTAAAGAAGTACAAACTAAGGTAGTCTAACTTATATACTAAAAATAAATTTCCAACAAATTATCTATCCCGGACTGTTTGAAACCGATCCAATCGAGGAACTAAGGTAAAAGAAAACGATTAAATATTAAAAAAAAATATATTGCTCAATTAAACTTTAGTTTCTGATTAAAAAAATTTTAAACCTTATTTTTGTATGTGTTCTTAGCTCAAAAAGAAAAGGATCATAGCTTTCATTGAAATGCATTTTTTTAAATTTCACTCTTTATTATTTATATGATCAGTAACTTAGCAACAGATTATTTGATTATAAACGATAGGATTTCAAGCACTAAAACTAAAGAAGTGCAAACTAAGATATTCAACTTTGATTTCTCTATAAACTTGAAAAAGATCAAGATTTTTTTAATGTGTTCTTCATTCAATAAGAATTATTATTTTTATTTATTTGATTGAAACATATTTCTTTAAAATTCACTCTTTATAATTTAAATACTCTGTATCATAGCAACACATTTGGTTATAAATAATAGAATTTCAAGTATTAAAACTAAATAAGAACAATTTAAGATATTCATTTTTTGTCTTCTTTATAAACTTTACTTTTCTACAAACTTAAAACAAGAAGTTTTTTTTGATGTATTATTCAATCAAGAAGATTTCTTTAAATCTCAATCTTTATTATAAGAATATTATTTAACATATAAACATTTTTTGTCATTGCAACTAATAGGATTGATTGTACTAAAACTAAAGATGTACAAACTAAGATAGAAACTTTTATGTACAAACTTGAGAAATATCAAGATATTTTGGTTTATGTTCTTCAATCAATAAAAAGGATAAAATTCACTTCTATGAATGAAATACATTTTCTTTAAATTTCACTCTTTATTATTTCAATATTTTGAAACATATAAACAATTTATTCCATTGCAAATTGTACTAAAACAAACAAATACATACTAAAGTATAAATTCTATTTTTTTTTTCTATAAAATTGAAAAATATCAAGATTCTTTTAATGTGTCATCAATAATACGCATTAGTTTAATTGTTTTAAATCTACTTCTTTATTATTTCAATACTCTCTAATATATTAACAAATTGATTAGAAATGATAGGATTTCTTGCTCTGAAACTAAAAAATTAAATATTAAGGTACACTATATTCTCTTAAAATCTTACCAAATCTTTATTCAAAACAAATTATTGAGATATTTCATAGAATGTCAACTTTTCTAAAGGTTACTGCATCATATCATAAAATCTAATATCAGCATTGACATTTCCTAAAGAACCTCAATTTATTAAAATCATTTATTAGACTTTAATCTAATTAAAACCAAGAAATGCCTACTTCCAAGATTTTAGGGTAACGACTTATAACAAGATTATCTTGGAAGGACCATATTGCCAACATCTGGAAATAAAAAACTATATTGGCTAATATGATAAAAACAGTACAGAAGATATATTATTAAATTTTCTATGGGTTTATTCAACTCTGTGGTTAAGCAAATAGTTAACATAAGATTACTTCTTGATAATACAAGTTATCGCCGATTTCTTTGTAAAAAAAAAGCGTGAATCACATATGAATGTGATAATTGTTAATCTATTGAACAAAGAAATCAAAGGTTAAAATGAATTAAACACTTAGGAATTCAAATATTATTTATTGAGACATTATAATATGCATTTTATCTAATAATAATTTGTTTTCGATTTATTGTTCTTCCTGAATTATTAAGTAATTAAACTAAAATCACAGTAATTATTAAAAGTAACTCATAATATTATGAAATGGTTTTTTAAACAACAGATTGTTAACTTAAGCTTTACGCTCTTGTAATATATAGCGAGATAAATTTTAATTAACATATTAATACATAAAATGTTGCTATCAAACAAAGTATGTTGTTGATATGTAAAACTGATTTTGTTTTTATGTAATCTACTGAATAATACATGAACTATGCCTACAGTTGACATATTTATAGCCGCTTTATAATGTTTTAAAAGTCTCAGTGAAACGATTCTAATTGGAAAGTATTTAGAGGTCAGCGTATTCGATTTATATACGTGATTATTATGTTACTTCATGAAGTTTATAAACTCATTACATTAGAAACAACGCACCGAAATCAGTTTCCATCTGGATTTCCAATTGGAATTGTTGATAGTTGTAATTATTTACTTGCCGACCAGCGAAACTTCTTGGCTCGCAACTCTCGCACAAGATACACACCAAACTCGTCAAGACACAGCAACAACAACAACGTCCAACTTCAATCCAATCAACAGAAGAAGAAAAAAAAAGAACTTTATCAAAGTGTGTTAGGAAAGTGCAGAGCAAACAAAAGCAACTCCTCAGGCGTTACTCACGCCGCTGAAATCACAAGTGTCACCGCGATTGCAATTAGCGAGATGACTCAGATGCAGAGAAAATACCCAATTTCCCTGCTCTTAACCTACTTTCCGTTCTTCATTTCTCGCGTAACGCGCGATTCGGGGTCGCACAATGCAAATCCGCAATTTCCTCAGGATGTGTGCATCGTAGACTCTTTCTTCATTCTCCAATTAGTTACCTTTTCATAATGAAAACAACAGCTCCGTCTCTATCTAATCTAGGTTATTCACAATCTAATCTGAATGATAACTGCTCTTATGTGGGCTTACCTATGGCAGGTTGTCCTCTTGAAATCCTTCAAACACTTCGTTTCGCAACTTTGACGTATTTATATGCGCTCTGCTTTAAACTTGAACTGTTAACACTCTGCTCCCTGATGTTACCATGTTTATTACTAACATCAACTAACATGGCGCGATACCTATTGGAAATAGGTTCTTCAGCGGCATCCATCGGGGACCTTCTGAAGTAACACAAGACCACCTGTTGTCTTAATTCACAATCATTTCACATAAAATTAATCATCTCATTCATATTTATTGTTTAATCGTTTTTCTTAACTTTCTAAAGATATTCTCATTTTATTATATAGTTAAGCTATAGTATTTTAATATTGTTTAAACGTCATTATTAAGTCGCAAGTTTTACTTTTCAAGTCAACTTTATGTTTAAATCTTAAAATTCCTAAATTTCTAGACAATACGTCAACATCGTATGATATGGTCTATCAAAATTCATTCCTTAATATACCAACCAAATTAAAGGGTAAATCCTCTTTCCTAGGCATTTTCTAGAAAATTATAATACTTCCCCACTAGGTGGTAAAATTCGTGTCCTATCGTTCTTCAAACAACCAATCAGTACTAATTATTAGTAATTAATTATTTAAATTATTGTTATTACATAGAAATTAGGTAATGAATGGAATCTTCATCATTAACAGAAGAGTATTTTCTAAAAATATTTATTTTTAAAAGAAATACTATCACGTTCCTCAACTGTAGTCGGCTAAATTATTAATTCAATACATATTGGTAAAAATAGTATATTCACAAAAATAATTTAAAACAAACAAAATCTTAAGATTATGAAATTATATTGCTACTATTTAATAACCAAGCAATATTAATACAAGCAATGAAAATAAGGGCAATTCTATTGAAAGTTGATGAGCAAAACAAATAATTTGTGATTTTAAAATCTTAACTTATATATTTTTTTTTAATAAAATCCGAATTATAATTAGTACATACATATATCTTTCAATTCATACAAATAATACATTTCAATTAACCTACGGAAGCAGTGACAAGTTCCGCAACATCAGGATGCGTCGATCTGACTGTGAGTTGCATGGTCACTCCATCGGCCAAAGCCAATTTGGCACGTACCAGGATATCAGCACCGCCGCGGAAAATTCCAGCGAGCAGCAAGGTATGAGTAGTCTTTCCTTCAGGGATTTTATCGGACCTTTCAGCCGGCTGAAGTCCCAAGAACTGAATGATGTTCTTCACAGCTTCCTCCAGAGTACTCATCGATGCAAGAGAGTAGGTTTCTTCCATCTCAACGCAGTTCTCGCTGAGCTCCTCCCAAGACGCCTGCCAATTGACTTTGCTCACGCGTTGAATTTGATCGCCCAAATTGATTTCAAGATCTTCAAGAATATACTCATCGTCGTAACCTATTAAAGATCAAAATTAGATGTGATTTAAATATGATTTATAGTTACAAACCTTCATCGGTGTCTGGTAAACCGGTGTCCGGATCGCAATCTTTGACGATGAACTTGAGGACAGCTCCGAAAGTAGCGACGCTAGCGAAGAAATTCTCCGGATACTGTAGCACAATGTAAGTGGTTCCGGTCTCGTTGTAAGGCAACTTCTCGCACGGAATTTCTTTAAGAATTTTGTATCCTTCGCTAGGTTCCAACTGGACGCGCACGTTTTCCAACAATTGATCGCTAAGAGTATTGAGGCAGTCGAACTGCAGAACAATGCAGCGAGAGAATGTGTGCTTTATACATCTCACGACGTATTCAGTTTCAGATTCGGTCAATTCAACGACTTCGGAACTTCTGAATAGAGAACCGGCTTGCGCGATACCCGGGATCAGGGTCAATTTCTGTGCGTAGTTTTCTTCTCTGGAAACTTTAACCTTCTTCGTAGGTCCGGTAGACATAATCATACCTTCAGATTTCTGTTGGGCCCTTGTAACCTCCTCATTAGTCGGAACGACTGCAATTGGTACGGATTTCAAATCGAACGGTTCATCTGTACATCCATCGCAGTATTCTTTAAGCGAGCGCTCCAAAGATGGAATCGAAACTTGAGGACTCTCAATGATATAGCTATTGTATAACGAAGGATCTAAGTAGCTTAATATGTTACTGTAGTAGGTGGCACGATCGCGCACTTCATCGTCGGAATCCATTTGGCAGCGCGCTAAGAGCACCAAGATGTTCTCCAGCAAATCGGGACAAGTCGCTCCAAACTGTGCCATTGCTGAGATTGCGGCAGCTCTGACAGTCGGATTTTCGAGAATGACACGATTGTAAATGAATCTGATATACTTGGAAGGTTGTTTGGTTCTAGGACCTTCCTTGCCCAACAAATGCAGAATTCTGACCGCCAACGAAGTATGCTCGCAGTCCTCGATGAATTCGCAGAGATGTGCCAAACCGATCTCCTTGGCATCAGGATTATCTTCAATAATAGTTATAATCGTATCAGCGATAGAAGCCTTGTACTCAAGACCGCCTTCATCGCGAAGCATCATCGAAAGGAACGTCATCAGCACGCTGTGTTTCCTTGGGAATTTCAAAGACAATGCTCGGATGGCTTGAACTACCACAACTTTGAATTCGTCGCTGATCTCCGAAACGAAAGTTGCAATCTGCTTCATCAGGCGATCAACAGAAGACTCGGATCCGGTCTTCAACAAAGTGGTAATAGCCAAAGTAGCAATAGACCTGTTCGAATCGGTGATGAGGTTCTCCAAGTCCATGTTGCAAAGTTTTACAGCGGCAAGATGCGAAATAGCAACTTGATTCAATGTACGAACGGCGGCAAATCTAAGAGTAGCCTTCGGGGAATTGCAGAAACTTTGCAAGCAGCTAATCGCATGAGCTAATTCGCTATTTGTGGTGCACTTCAAGTTAACAATCGCATGAGCCGCTTCGTAAATAACGACTTCGGATTTATGACGAAGGCAGCTTTCAATAAAATCGAAGAACGGCAAATCCGATCCATTTTCTTCCTCCTCAAGCAGCTTCGCAGCCATACGGATCTAAAGCAAATAATTTGTTACACATTCAAAAACATACAACAATTAACAACTTACCAACATACAAGCTGCATAAGGAGACCTCAAAGAGGACTTAGTCAATTTGGCAACTAACTTATTAACTGCCAACTTATCAGTTTTCCTGATATGGTACAAAACTCCCAAAGCATGATATTGCACCATAATGCTACAATTAATTGAATTTAATATTTTTACTTAACTAAAATATTAACACATACTTATCACTGTTGATGGCTTCTTGTGCTTCATTCACGTATCTCTTAACTACATCATTAGCCATTTTGGTCATGTGCAGTGAGCTAACAAGGGCAGCACTGCTGACTGCAGAGTTACGATCCACAATAGCTTGTTTCATGTACCTTTCAATTGCCTGCAGCATAGTTGCATCAGTGATACTACACAAAGCCCTGATTGCAGCAGCCCTATATAAATCCTCTTTACCAGTCATATCTTTAGTTAAACTGGATGTGACAATAATAACATCATCAGCAACACCACTCAATTCCTTAATACCCAAATACACCATCCTCCTAAGAATGACATCTTGCGATTGGAACAGTTTGGTCATCGCAAAGAAGGCCTCTGTAGCTTCTGTAGAACTCAATTGTTCTCCCTAAATACATAATTCATTAACAAATCAAATTTGATTAGTTTAGAAATTTACCTGATTCAGCAAGTACAGGATAGAAGTCATGATTCTGATGCATTTCTTGGGGTTGACGGGGGTCTCATTGAAAGTCCTACATTCTTGTAATACTGTTGTTTTCTCGATACCAGTGAACAAGCAACTGCCTAGTTTTGGAAAAATTTGTGGTTAGAGAACTTGTTTTTAATTTTTTTGGAATGCAAGGGTGTTGGCCTTTGCTGATAACTTACCATCCTCCTCTTCCTTCTTGTCCTTTTTAAAGGAACTCATTTTCGGTTATATCTTTGGCCCAGATATATTGAAATCCTTAAAATTCACAATATTTTACGGCGACACGTCACAACTGTTAACAACAACCGATCATCAGCAACTGTCACATTGACAACTCAACGAAATACAAAATATTGTTTCTTCAAGAAACAATCACAAATTCTACTACAAATCGGTTTAATTGTTTATATTTACCTGTTTAAAACTAATTTATAAATTAATTAATGTTGTAACATCGATTTCAGACTATTATTTACGTGGTAAATAGTGGTTAACCTGTTTTTCAATATCAATGTAGCCAATACATAAAACCCAATATTTTTTTTAGTAATTATGAATTAAATAGTAGAGAAATTAGCGTGAAAGTTGCAAGAAATGTTAGAAGTTAATTCATAAAAATGTATTTATAAAGAATAACCATTAATAGTTAATTTCGTTACAAGTAGCGCCATCTACAAGGATTAAAGCAAACTTTAAAGTTCAATATTTCTCACACTTTGTTGTTATAATATTGAAGCAACAAAGTATAAATTTAAATTTACAACAAAAATAAAAATAATTCATTGATTCGAACTGAAGCAGTAATTAATAATTTGAATTAAACACAATGAGTAAGAGAATTGTACATGAGAAAGTGCCATCTTCTGGTATTATGTGGAAAGATAATAAATTCAAATTTATTAATTATGTATTTTATCCGGTGGCAATCACAAGCCCGACAATGAAAATCCCGGCTGCCTCAAAATTCCGACTACCATAATCCCGACAATCAAAATCCCGACTGCATCGAAATTCCGACGTTTGAAATACCGGCTGGCTTAAATCTTGACGTAAGAAATCCCGACTATATCGAAATCCCGACTACTATAATCCCGACTGTATCTAAATCCCGACGTTCGAAATACCGGCTGGCTCAAAATCTCGACGTAAGAAATCCCGACTATAACGAAATCCCGACTATATCGAAATCCCGACAGTGTCTTCTATTATTATAAATGTCTACAATAACATTTTTATGGTAATCGTGATTTCGATATAGTCGGTATTTTGATTGTCGGGATTATAGTAGTCGGGATTTTTACATAGTCGGGATTTCAAGCGTCGGGACTTTAATATAGTCTGGATTTCGAACGTAGGGATTTCGATACAGTCGGAATTTCGAACGTTGGGATTTCAATAGACGATGTTTCGTTTGTCGGGCTTGCGATATAGACCGATTTTATCAATTAAGTACATGCCTTTTTATTTATTATATAATGTACACTGAGATCAATTTATTAGTCATTTTGGATACAGTGTACTATTAATTATGTGTATTTAATCCTACTTATCTAAGTTTTAAGTTGTTCATGAATATTAGGTTGGAGCTAAATACAATACTAACACTACAATACAAGATACAAGTATAAACTATGCTACTATGCTCTGATAAACCCGAAAGGGGTGGAAATAGGGCCAAGAGATTTATATCAATAATAAATTGATATAAGTCTGTTTAAAAAAGTATAAACTACACTTCTATAATGCAATACTTTCATATATTTTTTCAGGACTGGAGGGAATTTAAGATGAAATATAACATGAAATATACATGTTTATTTAATTAATAGTGCTTATATCCATATACAATACTAATACTACAATGCAGGATACAAGTACAAACTGTACTTGAATAATGCAATACTTTCATGAAATTTTTCAGGAATGGAAGGAATTTACGATGAAATATAACTTGATATGGAAATGTTTATTTAAATAATAGTGCTTATATATATATAGTATACTAATACAAGATACAAGTACAAACTGTACTTGAATAATGCAATACTTTTATGAAATTTTTCAGGAATGGAAGGAATTTACGATGAAATATAACTTGAAATAGAAATGTTTATTTAATTAATAGTGCTTATATACATACATGAAATAAATAAATAAATATAGAAATTAAAACTAGATATCTACTGGACTAATCTATAAATATGATCACATAATTAACTTAAATCTAAGCGTTTGGTAATTTAGACGATTTATTATTGTTCACAACCCAGAGGATGTTCTTTTGTCCAAAGTAATCTTCGATTTCCTCCAGCGTTTTGCCTTTAGTTTCCGGCAGCATCAGATATAAAAATATACTAGCAAAGAAAGAAGATAAACTGAAGACCCAGAAAACTCCGTGCACCCCAATCAAATCCCTAATGAGCGGAAAGACTTTGGTAATCACAAAAAGTATAAAATTGAAACTAGTAAAAGTCAATCCACCAATAAAACCGCGTATATTCGCAGGATACAATTCTCCAAGCAAAACCCCAGGAAGAATCATGAAGCCAATAGTGTTTGCAGCAACATAAATCAAAACGCAGAAAGCTGCAAAGTAACCGGACCCAGAGCAGTCGGCTTGAAAATAGAGGAACGTGCCAAGACAAAGTGCGGATATTCCTGTACCTATACCAGAGGCCAAGGCTAGAGTTCGTCTTCCAACAAACGCTAGTAGGATACTCGCAACGATAGTGAAGATGAACCGAACGCAAGCTGTAAGAACGGCAGCCAGGAAATGATCAATCTCGCCTCCACTGATGTTCGAAAGGATATCTACTGCGTAGAAAACGATCAAGTACGTGCCGGAGAAGATCTGCATGATGTTGAAGATGTTGAGGATGATGAAAGGCTTTATGACGCGCGGTTCGAGCATCTGCTTCCACGCCGATTTACTATTGCCCGGATTCTGTTGACTGTCAATGCGTGATACGAGCTGCTGCAGTTCTTGTTTCGCCTAAAAGTATAATTAACATAATACAATAATCGGAATTAAGCGCGGAATCAGAAGAGCACATTTGAAGAGAAAAAACTTGAATACTTTACAACTTAATTAAATGAAATCTCAAGAGCGTTGGTGTTGTATATTTATTATATTGATTTTATTTATATTAAATATATACGAATTTATATAGATATATTTAATGATATGTATAAGCAGGATTTCATGAACGTTGAGGAAGTGTTTGCGCCTTTCTCGCGTAATGCACGTGTGGAAAGCCCAACTATATTATTATATATATAAATATATATATTTATTCATTTATATATTTATAATAAATGTACGTGTAATTCCGGAGATCTTACAAAATATATAGCATTCTGGCACAGGCTGCTATGAATTGCGAGAGGTGTGTTTTGCAGTTAGTTGTATAAATATCAAATGTATATATATATATTTGTCGATGTTTCTCCGTATATGCATGTATATAATATATATAAATTTCAAACATATATGGACTAGGAAAGCAGAAACGCTCGGACGTATTTTATATATACGTATTATAATATAAATCAATACAAACTCGCACGCTACGTCTCACATGCATGTTATACTCATCGCACATGTTAGATAAGACACACTCATACTAAATATATATGTCATGGTTCATTTCGTAAGCTTCCGGTTTATAATTCGTCGCATTAATTTTCAAAGCACTAATTCAACATTTAATAACAATCATGGCATGTCAACAAAAAAACAGCTGATATAACAATGAAAATACTATTAACCAATCAATTAAGTGCATTGCTTTGTTTTTACTAAAACAGTGTATGCAGATTACATGCTTATGCAATGACTGTTAAATTTGATAAGAATTTGCAAGTGATAAGGTATTTGCGACGCTGATAAATTGAACAAACAAATAATGTTTGTATATATTTAAATCAGAAAGAATTCTGGAAATGTTATTACATGTTTTTGAAGTAAATAAGTCAAAGGCAAAGGGAAACGTTTTGTACGACTTCGGTGCTTATGTGATTGTATTTGCAATTGAATCAGACAGACGAAAGCAATTTTTGTGTAAATCATTTTTACGTTCTTTCATGTCCTAATATCAAATTACGATTGTAATTTCACAGAAAAGAGATGCGATTAATGTTATTTTTTTATTCAGCAATACCTCGCTTTGTGCAGATTGTTTGAAACCGGACTAATCGAGGAACTAAATTAAACATATTATAAAGGAAGCATTTATGTATAAAAATAATATTGTGTACTATTTTTTTTATTTTTCTCTATTAAAATTTAGTTTGTTTTCAATTTAATTGAATGTTGAATTGAATTCGAACTTTTAATACAAATATTCAATTATAAAAATCTTATTTCATGCAACATTTCAAATTCAGTAATCGCAAATGTTAACACATGGTATATATGAAATTTTTAGACTTGCACAAAAAAATTGTAGAAAATTTAAAATTTTAATTTGGAGCTTTTACTAAGACATCTTTTATATGTTCTTCCAACCTTCTCATATCACAAGCATAATAGTTTTTCGATACGTCGGGTTAACAACAAATAAATTAAATTTTAATTCTAAACATTTTTACGTTTTTTCATGTCAAAGATATAAGTTATAAATTTTATTTTTTCAATATTTTAATAAAAATATTACTAAACTTTACTAAATTAGAAAATATCTTTAGTATGTATTTCAGTCAATTCAAGTATTCAATGAGAAAAATCATTATTGCTGCTGGTAGTTATTAAATTTGGTGTAAATCTAAATGCCAAAAATTTTCGGAATATTTATTTTTTTACACAAATATCTACAATTTCGTCAATATCACAAGCATAAAAGTTCTTTGGTGATGATAGTAAGAGAAAGTGAAAAAAAATATAAAATAGTATAAAAAAATGTTATAACTTTCATTGAATTTTATTTCATTTCATTATTTTGTCAAAGATAAAGCGAAACCTTTTTGATATACTTTGGTGTCTCGTGTTTACCATTGAACAAAAAAAAACGTTTGTATAAAATAATTTTACGTTCTTTCATATCCAAATATCAAATTTCAGTTGTAATTTTACAAAAACAGAGAAGCAATGAATATTGAATTTCATCTAAATTTTTAATACAAGATTAATCATGAATTTCACATTAATTTAGAACGTAAAATGGTAATAAAAATGCGATTTTTTATGTAATTCTGAAATGTTGTAACTTTCATCAAATTTTATTTCAGTTTATTATTATTTTTTATTGAGAGACTTACATCAAAGTCAAAGCAAAACCTTTTGAAATACGTTGGTGCTTCGTGTTTTCCATTTAACAAAAAAAATATACGTTTTTTTCACGTCTAAATATCACATTTCAATTGTAATTCAAACAAAAATAGAGAAGCAAAGAATACTGAATTTCTTCTTCATTAACAGAAATCATTTTTTCACTTCAATTTATGAATAGTAAACTTACATCAAATGGTATTAAAAAAAGTTATCTTTGTGTAATTCTGATATGATATAACTTTCATCAAATTTTATTTAATTCTTGAAATACTTCGGTACTTTATGTTTCCCATTGAACAAAAAAAAAGTTGTATAAATCATTTTTACGTTCTTTCACATCCAAAAATAAAATTTCAAATGTAATTTCATAGAAAGAAGCAAAGAATATTACATTTCTACTATATTTTTAAAGTAATATTAAATGTCATGATATTATAACTTTAATTTATGACTATTAACAGTGTAAAGTAAGTATACTAAAATGGTGATTAAGAGCAATTGCCAGGCGTGTTAAGTAATGAATATATATATATTTTCATTATTTTATAAACAAATATAGAATTTGGAGATATAAGAAATTCTCTGTAAAATGGTATTAAAAAAGTGATCCTCATATAATTCTTATATGTTACAACTTTCATCCAATTTTATTTCAATTCTTTTTCGAGAGAGATACGTCAAAGCGAAACCTTTTGAAATACTTCGGTGCTTTGTGTATCCCATTGAATCAAAAAAATAACGTTTGTATAAATCATTTTTACGTTCTTTCACGTCCAGATATAAAATTTCACAAAAAGAAGCACAAAGAATCGTTATTATAACTTCAATTTATGACTATTAAAGGTGTAAGCAAGTATATATGATTGCAAGGTGTATATGATGTTAAGTAATAAATATAAATTAATGTACATTTTTTTACATCCAAATATAGAATTTGGAGAAATAAGAAATATTGGAATTCTTGGAAAATTGGTATTAAAAAAGTGATCTTCATATAATTCTGATATGTTATAACTTTCATCGAATTTTATTTCTATTTCTTTTAGAGAGATACGTCAAAGGTAAAGCGAATTATTTTGAAATACTTCGATACTTTGTGTTTCTCATTGAATAAAAAAAAAATGTATAAATCTTTTTACGTTCCTTCGTATCCAAATATCAAATTTCATATGTAATTTCACAAAAAGGAAGCAATGAATATTACATTTCTTCTATATTTTAACAGTAATATTAAATGTTATATTAAATCGATATTATATTATAACTGTAATTTATGACTATTAAAAGTGCAAAGTAAGTATACTAAAGTGATCATTAAAAGCTATTGCCAGACATGTATGAATATAAATTAATTTATATTCTTTTACATTAAAATATAAAATTTAAAGAAGTAAGAAATATTTGAATTCTTGGTAAATTAGTATTAAAAAAAGTTATCTTTATGTAATTCTGATATGTTAGAACTTTCATCGAATTTTATTTATATTTGTTTAGAGAGATACTTCAAAGCCAAAGTGTTTCTCATTGAACAAAAGAAAAAGTTTGTATAAATCATTTTTACGATCTTTCACGTCCAAATATCAAATTGCAATTGTAATTTCACAAAAAAGGAGCAATGAATATTGCATTTCTAGCATATTTTAACAGTAATATTAAACGTCATGTCATCAATCTTAAGTATAGTAAAATGGTGATTAAAAGCAATTGTTAGACGTGTAATTTGAAGTAATAATAAATATTGGATTTCTGATATATTTCGATACAAATAGTACACTTGTACACAGTGTACACTTCATTGCAAATACTCAATCTTTATTACACTTTTATGAACATTGAATTTGTATTGAATGGCGATTAAAATGGTAATTAATGGAAGTGCGTGCAATGTTTGAGGAAATGAATGAGTTCGGTGAATATCGGCAATTCGTATTGGATTTCCGGTGGATTCACGCATGTTTCATTGAAGCCACAATGCACGTGATTTATTTTATAAACATTACTCGACGTAATAAATAAATAAATTTATACAACTATATCAGGAGAGTATGAACGGAAGCAAGTGTACGGACCAAAATCGCACATGCACTGTGTATGAAGCGCGCTGAATTACATAATTAAACTAAATGCTCGCAATTACCTGAATATTGTTTCCGCCTCGCAGCCAAACCAACGCACGTTTCGCATCTTCATCTCGGTTTTTCTTCACCAGCCAGACCGGACTTTCAGGAAGTACAAAGAACAATGTCGCAGCGATGAGCGGAAGTAGAGTGCTGGACCCTGAATTGAATTGAAACAAGGATTTGAATTTAAGTCAAGGATGGTCGTCCTTCACTTACCCGCAACTAATCTCCAGTCAAACCATGATCCCAATGCGTACACCAGAAGGATGCCGAAGGAGTAGCTGGCAAATGGGACGCTCGTGAAGATGCCACGCACGTGCGGCTCGGAAATCTCACCAATTAAGACCTGGAAGAGAAACGATTGTGGATGGTTGTGGAGATTTTCGACGTCGTATATATCTTACTTGTCCTGGGGCTGCAGTCAATCCTGCCGACATTCCTGCTATCAGTCTGCCAAGAAGGATGGCGTTGTGGCTTTGAGCGAAGGCAATTAGGAGCCATCCGACGATCAGAGGAACTGCGGACACTTGCAACGTTAGTTTCCTTCCAACTTTTTCCATTAGCACCGCACTCAGGAGAGATCCTAATGGAGTGGACGCGGAATGTACGCTTGCTGCAAACATCAAAGTTTTCTATATTTATTCAGTTTACTATATAATTGAAACACAATTTATTAAAACTTCATTAATTTACTTACAATTTAATTAATTACAAACACATTAATTTCAATGATTTGCAAAACTGTAATAGAATTGTTGAATATAAGTAAAACGTAGAAATATTACATTAATTTCATTAATTGTTATAGGTAATTAATAAATATGACATCAATCTCATTAATTTACTTAATTGTTATAGGTAATTAATCAAAAAAAATACATAAACGATTTTTCAATAAAAGTTGACGTTAATATGAACTGCAAAAACGTATGAACGCAAAATCTATGCCCCGATATATACGATTCCTGAGAAAAATGTATTAATCGAAATTGTATCTTTTTGAATGTAAAACCTTTAAACCGTGTAAAGACAGTACCGTGTAAATCGAATGATAGGTTATTTCAATTATATTAAAAACAAATAGGAAGAGGGTTCTTTGATAGTAGTAAAACTGGATTTTACTTCATTTATTTGATTCTTAGTAAACAAATGTAATAGTAGAATCACCAGACAAAATAAGGAAAAAATAGAAGAATCTGAACTGAAAAAACTGAACTGATTAAGTTAAAACTTAATTAATTTACAATAAAACAAATAACTGAAACATTTCAATTATAAAAAAATTAAACTGGAAATTAATTTAAATTATGTAATTTATGAAAACAATGAAATAAATTACCAAGATTGAATTATTAAAATTGTAACAATTAGATAGAAATGTACAAATGAACAAATACAGAAAAGTAAATAACTGAAATAGTTGAATTATCAAAAATAAACAAGTTCATTAATTTCCTTGAAAAATATCAATTTTATTATGTAAAAGAAATGAGAGAAAAAATAAAAAAATAAAGAGAATCTGATTGAATTCTGATTTAAATAAGTTAAATTGACTTATGACCTTAAATTAATTGATTTTAAGAATTTCAAAGATGAACATTCGTTAATTTATATATAAAAATAGGTAGATTATAATAAAAAAATGAATAAATAAGAAACAAAAACTACATGAAAATTCATTTTAACTTCATTAATGTACATAAAAATAATCAAAAACTGAATGAAATTTGGAATTGTTTAAATTGTGACTAAAATTGCATAAAAAGTTACAAATTCTTAAATTTACAAAAAAAATAACACAATTTATTAATTTCAATGATTTGCAAAATTGTAATAGGATAGAAATATGACATCAACTTCATTAATTTACTTAATTACTATATGATTAAAAATAACTAATAGAGAAACGATTATTCAATAAAAGTTGTCATTAATATGTAGTGGAAAAACGTACATCTTCATTCATTTACTAGAAAATTAATAATTGTAATATTTCAATTATATTAAAAATATACAGAAAAAAGGTTGCTTCATAGTAATCAAATGTAATAGTTGAATCATGAGAGAAAATAAAAGAGAAAAATCTAATCTGATCTAAATAAGTTAAAACTTCATTCAATTCCCATAAAATAAATAACTGAAACATTTCAATTATATGTAAAATAAAATGAAAAATAGTTTTTCAAGAGATGTGAAACTGAATGAAAACTGATTAGAATTAAATTATATTATATAAAAATATTATTATTAGGTATTATTATTAAAATAATAATGATTAAAATTGTGATATTTAATTAGTTAGAAATGTACAAATAAGAAGTAAAATTGAAAAAAAAAAAATATTTTCAAGTTCATTAATTTACATAAAAATGTGCAAATTTAATTATGTAAAAGAATTGAAAAGAAAATTTAAAAAAATAATTTAAAGAGAATCTGAATGATTCCTGATCTAAATAAGTTGAATTGATGAAATTATGACCTTAAATATATTATATCTAAATTTACAAGAAAATAAATATCTTAAAAATATCCAAAGAAAACAATTTGAAAAAGAGAAAATTAAAAAAAAATAAGTAGATTATAATAAAATATGTAATAAAGAAATAATGGATTTATTGATATGAATGAAACTTGACTTAATAAAATTGCAATAATGAAATAGTCACAATTATGAATTTGATAAAAACGTTACAAATTCTTGAATTTACAAAAAAATAATAATAACTGAAATAATTTAGTTGTAAAGAAGAAAACAATCTGAAAAATAATTGTTCTGGAAAAGTGAAATTATAATGGAAATGTTTAAATTGTAACTGTGATATGTATAAAAACGTACAAATTCTAGAATTTACAATAAAATAAATAAGTAAAACAATTTAGTTGTTAAAAACAACAAACTAAAAAAGGATTATTTGAGAAAAGTGAAATAATGATGGAAATGTGTAAATTGTAACTGTGAATTATAAAAAACGTACAAATTCCTGAATTTACAATAAAATTAATAACTAAAGTAATTTAGTTGCAAAAAAACAACAAACTGAAAAATAATTCTTCGAAAAAAACTGAAGTAATATGGAAATGTTTAAATTGTTAATATGATTCAGGTAAAAACGAAGAAATTCTTAAATTTACAATAAAATAAATAACTGAAATATTTCCATTATGATAAAAACAAACATTTTATCCAAAAAAGTGATAATGAATGAAAACTGATTTCGACTTAAATCATTTACATAAAAGATAACTAAATAAAATAGATTAGGAAATATAATAAAAGAAGAAAAAAACATGATTTATCGAGAGAAGCGAAACTGAATGAAACCTGACCTAAATACGTTGCGATCATAGAATTGTTTAAATTGTGACCATGAATCGGATGGAAACGTACATCGAGCAATGTTAAATTAAACAATCTCGCAACGTGTACTTGACCCAATATTTACAAGATGTTATAAACAAATGAAGCGAATGACCGTAATCGCAACCACCTCGTCTGCGTCTACAACTCAATTACACCAGTTACTGACCAAGACATTCGAGACGGCCTTGAACTTGACGATTCTTCATCTTCATTCATAGACAAATTGCGCGCTCATAATTGTACTATGCAGAAAACAAATGCCGTTTAATTGAACGTCTAATAAAAAAAAACGTAGTTTTACATGAAAACGTCTCAATTTAAATAAAATATCATGGTCATTCCAGTTTTACACAATTTTATATTCACATATTTCCGTTTACATAAAATAACTATTGTCGAATTTCGTTTATCGCTTATTAAATAGTTGCAAAAACATTTGGACATCAACAAATACGCAAGGCCGACGTGATTTTTTACGTATTGGAATACTAAGTTGAATTACATATAAAATACTATTGCATTAAGGTTGTCGTGGACCTTAGACACCAGATAAGTAGATTCTAGTTTAATTGTTTTTCATGAATAAAAAATGATGACAGGGGAATCCTAATTCATAATATGTCTCGAGCGCCCGATGTGGGCCCTATCAATTTTATTGGGGTCGCATAAACATCGTCGGCCCTAGATACTGCGTCTACTGTGCTTAATGGTTAAGGCGACTATGTGATAGATTTTTTTTGTAATTCCTTAAATGAAATTTGTTTTTTTTTGGACACTCACTGTGACACATTGTATTCAATTTGTCCGCGCTAAAAGTACTAATAAGACGTTTTTACTGACCTATCCAAGATCCGATATTATCATCAATCTGTAAAGTGCCGTTCGTCGACTTTAATTGCGGCAATAAAATTGCCGAATAGCCCGTCGGCATTCCGCAGCTCGCAGAACTCAGCATCACCGCTCCAGTCACCAAACACTGAAAAAGTAAAGCAATATAACTTGAGTATAGTTTCTTCTAAGTTTATAACACACTAAGTTTTTCAATCATATTATCGATACATAAGATTTTTTTTAACTTTTTCACCATGATTACATAAGTATCAGTCATTTAAAGAAACTTGAATTTAAGGAAACAAACTTAATACAAATAGACCATATGACTAATTAAGATCTATTACTAAAAGTAATTTGTTAATAAGGAAGAAAACACTGTAAAAATGGTTATACTATGATTTTATCAGAATCTATTACTTATATTTGAGGAAAAAAATACTGAAAGAAAAAGTTATTATTTACTAAGTTTATACAAATCTAAGGTTTTTTTCATCAAATAAATAATTAATAAAAGCATCAAACTAAAAAATATTCTTCTAGAAAAGTGAAACTGATTCTAACTTTATAAATTTAGAGAAAACATGATCTATTGAGAGAAATGGAACTGAATGAAACTTGACCTAAATATATTATTATAATTGATTTATATAAATTGTGACAATGTAATGAATGAAGAAAAACAAACTAAAACACATACTGAATAAAATGAAAGAGAAAATAAACTGAGCTTTTACAACTAAGTTTATAGAAATCTACTGTTAATTGAAAAAAAAATACAGTAAATCAATTCTAATTTGAAATATTGAAGTTTTAAATTCAAAAAATTGTATTTTGTAATTCTAGAAACAAAAAATCATACTATATTTGTCGATGATTCAAAAGAGTAAACAAATACTAAAAGTACATATCAGTTAACTTATGAATAGTTTCTATTAAGTTTATAATTATCTAACACTAAAATGTAGCTAAGTGTATTTAAAAAAAAAGTGAACACAATAAATCAATTACAATTTAAAATGAATATGAAAATATATAATCACAGTTTTATACATACATTGTAAAATGAACACGAGAAATCAATTAAAATTTTAAATCATTAAACAAAAAGACATTTAAAAAAAGTAGATAACGTTGGAAAATTTAAAGTTTATAGTTTTTTTTTCTAATTCACACATAGAAAATTGCAATTAAAGAAAAAAACAATCACAATTTAAATAATAAACTTTTATTTAAAATGTATTGTTTCAAATTAAGAAGCGAATACTTAAAAAAGGACAATTCTCATTTTAAATGAATCAATTTGTCGAGAAGAACGATTTATCTTGAATGAACGAGGAAATACTTTTAGTGTGTTAATAGAAATGGATGAAGGTTTTTAGATATACGTTATTTTATATAGATACAAATGAAAGTATCTGCTTAAAATAAATATTTACTATTGCTGGTAAAACTTACTTGTGCGAAAATACTTTTTGACGAAATGCTCTCTTCGGATGAACTATTGGAGTTGTCCTTAAGCAATTTCTTGTGATATATTTCATCTTCATCACTATTGAAAGAAAGAAATAAGATAATTTTATTGTTTTGAAAATTTCTTGATTTTATTTTTAGTTACTTTTTGCGTTTCTCTGCAGGCATCTTTAGCAGTTTTGTTGCGTTATTGTTAAGGTTTAGGAGAGAACTGGATGAGCCGCTCGATGTGCTGCTAATCTTGTCTCAGGTTTATTACATTTATTTTTTTTGCACGTGATGCAGTAAGTCACCTCCTACTTGTCTCGTTACTCCCAGACACTACAAAAGCCAAATTCGTTTTGCGACCTTTTCATTGATCTTCAACTACAATGTAAATTCTTACGCATTGTTTAGATACAAACTAAATTTTGAAAAACGAATACTTAGAAATATGTAGGCAGTTTACCTTGGCTCGTATATTTTTTTAATTTTGTATTGGTCAACAATTAATATTTCATCTTTGACCCAAATATATATTTGCAAAAAAAAAAGATAAATGTGAGAATTAATATTTCAATTAATTATTCATCACGAACAGATAAATCAAGTAAATCAAGGTTTATTGCCTATTGACTAGACAAATTTGTAGATTAGTAATTTATATAGACTTTTTATAAGCTGTAAATAATTTATTTTTTATGTAACTAGACATCATCTATAATGTGAATGTGTGTGAATTTTATTATTTTCCTATAATAATATTGTTTAAGATATTGACAAAAAAAAGTAAATTGACAAGAAAATGTCTGTAACTAAATTTATTCATGTTATTCCATACAAATTATACAAATTTAAATTAAATTTTCATCTTGATGCCCAAATATTTCTCGATGCCATTAGGCACGTTCTCGAAATAATCTATCCAATCGATGACCCTCAAATTGAACGGAACCAATTCTTTGTCACGCTTGCTGAGCGAATCCCAAATATTTTCGACGTTATCGTTGTCCACAATCATAGGTTTCTTGCTAAAGTAGTAGATCGCGTCCAGGAATTGATTGGTTTTATAATATAATCGTAGATACCTATTTAAAATGACAATATTATTGTTTTGAAACTAGAATAAATTAATACAAACTTTGGTTTTTGCCTTGTAAAAAATTGGAAAATATCCATGAATAAACATGGAAGATACATGAGTATAAACAATCTGATTGCATTCCAATAATAGTTTTGAGTAACTACTCCAGCGTATTTGTACTTCGTTGCAATCATGCAACCTTCATAGAAGCTAATAGGGTTGTTGTTGGAGGTGTAATTATAGACTTTGGTGTGTTTGGATCTTTAAATATTGAAATAATTATTGTTATACTAGTAGAGAATTATCTAATTAACTTATTGTGAATAAGATCATAGGTGCATGTGATTAAAGCGTTGGCTGTCATGTCGACAGGTACGGCGTGTGACATCGTCGTCTTTTCCATGCGATAACTTGGTGCGGTCTTTGTTCCCATCAGAATAATAGCACCCAACAAGCCGGCTTTGCTCTTCACCCAAGATGGATATGGCTCTGAATAACTGGAAGTTACTGAAAAATCTGCATTAAAACATGTATATTTTTTTGTAGTAAACTCACTGATTCCAGGTCTGAAGATTCCTATGCTCATGTGATCTTTAAACGAGTCACAATGAAACTCGGCTGCGTTTTTTGAGAACGTATACGAATTGGGCCAATCTTGCATTAACGTGTTTTCAATTTCATTCAATTCGTCGTCAGTTAAAGCTTTAGATAGATCTATCAACGTTTTTGGTTTTAATATTGGTTCATATATTTTCTCCTCGATGCGATAACAAGATTCCCTCGCGTTTGAGTAAGCAGATGAAATGTACATGAAACACTATTAAAAAAATGTATTATCGATACAAGTAGATTTTAATTATGTAACTTTTATGTTTGTGTTGTCTAAGCATATCTTGAGCAGCTCCGCCGTTCCTAACAAATTATTTTTGATCATCTCGTGGAGCGGATTCTGCATCTTTATGGAAGCTCCAAGATGAAGAACAATATCCACGGTTTTGATCATAGCCATATCGTCGTCGGACAAATTCAGACGAGGCATTGTCAAGTCTCCTTCGATCCACTGAACTCTCTCATAATAATTGGGATTCAAGGAAATCATTCGCTCAAAAATCTTCGTTAAATAAGAAATTGTTTAATTTTTCTTTGTATATGTACTTACAGGATCTTTGAAGTAATCTTTGCTCCTCTCAATAACATTCTTTGTTCCCTTCTTCCTAGCCAACAAGTATAGTTTCGATATATCGGGAAAGCTTCTTAAAAGCTTCTCGACGAGCATCGAGCCTAAGAATCCGGTGCAGCCGGTCACCAATATCGATTTTTTCCTATAAAACTCATCCATCGTTGAGTTTCCAAAAACCACTGACTGCTGTTATACGACGTTGGATTTTGTATAGCTTATACGCTTATTATTGATAGAATGTAAACAAATTCCAACAAATTGACTCGATAGTTGTAATCAGTTAATTATATAGAACCTATGATACGTGTATCATAAACAAGTTTTTAACATTCATTCCTTAGACATTTACAAAACTTATTGTTTGAGCCATATGGAAAACATAATTTCTATCTTTTATTTTATTACTCATGTTTTCAATTCAATAATGAAAATAATTATGTTTTGAAAATTTTTAAACCAATCATCAATGGTTTAAAAATTTTCACGAATAAATGATGCAAAATTTTGATGAAATGATAATAAAATTCATTTCCCCATCTTTGTTTATATGTTCATAAAAGTGGAAAATTCTTCACATCGAAAATTTTTGCGTCGGTTCTTTAAACTCTATTTCAATTAAATGATTGAAATCACTCTAAAGTTGTATTTGATGTAAGTAACACAATTTGGACAGGAATGCATATTAGTTATAACTATATTTATTCATGTTGTTCCCTTCAAATTATAAAACAAAAAGTAAAAAAATTAAATTTTCATTTTAATGCCATAATATTTCTCAATGCCGTAAGGCACGTTGTTGAAATAATCTATCCAATCGATGACCCTCAAATCGAACGGAACCAATTCCTTGTCATGCTGACTGAGCGTATCCCAAATATTTTCCAAATTATCGTTGTCTATAATCAAAGATTTGTTGTTGAAATACAGAATCGCTTCTATGAAGTCACTGATTTTCTCATATAATCGTAGATACCTATATAAAATAAAGATGTTAGTATTTTGAATGCAGAATATTTTAATGCAAACTTTGGTTTTTGTAGTGTAAAGTATCGAAAAATATCCATGAATAGATATGGAAGATATAAAAGAGTAAACATTTTGATCGCATTCCAGTAATAGTTGTAAGTAATAATTGAAGTGCCCTTATTTTTCGTTGCAATAATGAAACTATCGTAAAAGGTAATAGGGTTGTTGTTGGAAGTGTAATTATAGATTTTGGTGTCCTTTGATCTATAAATATAAAAATAATTATAATTATACCAGCAGAAAAACTAATTAACTTATTCTGGATCACATCATAAGTGCTTGCAATTAAAGCGTTGGCTGTCATATCGACAGGTACGGCATGCGACATCGCTTTCTTATCCACGTAATAACTTGGTAATACCTTTGTTACAGTCAGAATAATAGCACCTAATATGCCAGCTTTGCTCTTCACCCAAACTGGATATGGCTCTGAATAACTGGAAGTTACTAAAAATCTGTGTTAAAAAACTAATGGTATTTTTTCAGTTGACTCACTAGTCCCAGGTCTGAAGATTCCTATGCTCATTTGATCTTTAAACGTGTCACAATGGTACTCGGCTGCAGTTTTGATGAATGTATATGAATTGGGCCAATCTTGCATTAACACGTTTTCAATTTCATCCAATTCGCCGTTTGTTAAAGCATTAGATATATCCAGCAAAGTTTCTGGTTTTAATATTGGTTCGTATATCTTCTCTTCGATGCGAGAACAAGATTTCCTCGCGTACGAGTAAGCAGATGAAACGTACATGAAACACTATTAAAAACAATTATATTATTGCTAAAATAAGTTGTTAATTATATAACTTTTATGTTTTTATTGTCTAAGCAGATCTTGAGCAGCTCCGCCGTTCCAAACAAATTATTTTTGATCATCTCGTGGAGTGGATTCTTCATCTTTATGGAAGCCCCAAGATGTATAACAATATCTACAGTTTTGATAATCGCCATATCGTCTTCGGACAAGTTTAGGCGAGGCATCGTTAAGTCTCCTTCGATCCAACTAACTTTCTCATAATAATTGGGATTAAGGGCAATCATTCGCTCAAAAACCTTCGTTAAATAAAAAATGTTAAATTTTTCTTAGTATATGCACTTACAGGATCTTTGAAGTATTCTTCGCTTCTCTCAATGAGATTCATCGTTCCCTTCATCCTAGCCAACATGTAGAGTTTTGATATATCGGGAAAGCTTCGCAAAAGTTTCTCGACGAGCATCGAGCCCAAGAAACCAGTGCTTCCAGTCACGAAAATGGTTTTATTTCTATAAAACTCTTCCATTTTCGAAATACCAACAACAACTGAATTCCGTTGTCTATTGGATCTGGTTTTTATATAGCTGATAGCATTATAATTGATGTAATCTAAAAAGTGCTTGGTGAATAAATTAATCAATCAATTTTATACTAATTACTACGTTAATTTATTTTGGCTTGGTAATTTGTTTTATAGTTATAGACTAGCCATATTTTACCTCAGTCTGAATTGTAAAAATTTCTTATTGACTTGTGTCTTAGAACTATCAATATTTTCAATTGTTTTTTTTTACAATAAAAGGATTAGTTTGAAAACCTCAGGTTTTGTAAAAATGATGTTCCATTTTTGATACAATAACATCAAAATTGGGGCATGCGGATTTTAGAGTAATTTACTTATTATCTTGGAGGTCTACTTGATTTATCGACTACGTTCATTAGTGTGAAAAAATATTGTTTTCAAAGGTAGAAATATTTCAAAGATTTACAATATTTAAATTGGAAAACATGTTTAGTACATCCTCAGTTCGTAGACTCCTGCTCTAGTTCAATTAAATTACTTATTGTTTGACGAATAAGCTTGAAATGGTTATATAACTCTCTGATACAATGATCAAAACTGGGAAGAAGTATTTGCTGTATGAAAAATTACTTTGACAGTAATGTATGTGACCAATGTGTTAAAATCTGAAGGATATCCCATGTCTTACAACAAAACTTGAAAATTGTTACAAAACAAAATAGCTTTTCTTTTTGACTTTCTTATTACTGGTAAGATGTACATTCAAATTGTGGACTTCGTTATATTAAAGCTTCATTATCAGCCAAGATATGACTGTATATATACTAACGGGCGACTAATAGCCAAATGGTTATGTCACCCTACCCACGTGCCAGTGGTCATAAGTTCAAAGCTTGGTCATGTCAGGCGCTCTGTGAGCCCTCTCTGTGCTTACAGCTATAGGGCCATTGTTCATCACAGATGGACTATGAAATGAATGAGGTTCAGCATATGGACCTTCAGCCAAGTCTATGGACAATGACAATGTTAAGGATAGCAGCAGATTCACAGTCAAAGGAAATAGTGGAATCGCAGAGCATCAATATACTACTGAAGTTAACCTACAAGACGACAGCCAACCTACAAATAAAAAATCATCATAATGGTAACTATCCACCGCGATAGATTATCTACCTAATGTCTACTGCGATCTTAAATTTATTCAATGTTCACATTAATAAACAGATTGTAAATAAAATTACATAAAAAAAATATATACTAACAAAAAATAGCTATAATTATATTTATCATATTATTCCATACAAATTACAATAATTAAATTTTCATCTTAATAACCATATATTTCTCAATGCCGCTAGGCACGTTCGTGAAATAATCTATCCAATCGATGACTTTCAAATTAAATGGGACCAAATCCTTGTCTCGCTGGGTGAGCGAATCCCAAACATGTTCCAAATTATCGTTGTCTACAACCAAAGGTTTGTTGTTAAAATAGAACATCGCTCCTAAGAAGTGATTGATTTTCTCATACAATCGTAGATACCTATTTGAAATAACGATGTTTTTAATTTGAATGAAGAATATTTTAGTACAAACTTTGGTTTTTGTAGTGTAAAGAATCGGAAAATATCCATAAATACAAAAGGAAGATACATGAGTAGAAACATTTTGATCGCATTCCAGTAATAGTTGTAAGTAATCAATGAAATGCACTTGTTTTTTGTTGCAATCATGAAACCATCGTAAAAGGTAATAGGGTTGTTGTTGGAGGTGTAATTATAGATTTTGGTGTCCTTCGATCTTTAAATATTAAAATGATTGTTATTATACTAGCTGAGAAAAAAATAATTATAAAATTAACTTATTGCTGATAACATCATAGGTGCTTGTAATTAAAGCGTTGACTGTCATATCCACAGGCACGCAGTGTGATAGTGCCTTCTTATCCACGTAATAACTTGGTACTAGCTTTGTTCCCAACAGAATAATAGCACCTAATATGCCAGCTTTGCTTTTTACCCAGGTAGGAAACGGCTCGGAGATAGCGGAAGTTACTGAAAATATATATTAACAAACATATCGCATTTATTTCAGTTTACTCACCAGTCCCAGGTCTGAAGATTCCGATGCTCATTTGATCTTTGAACGTATCACAATAGTATTCGGTCACATTTTTTGTGAATGTATATGTATTGGGCCAATCTTTCATTAAAGTATTTTCAAATTCATCCAATTCATCGTTAGTTAAACCATTAGACATATCCAGTAAAGTTTCTGGTTTTAATATTGGTTCGTATATCTTTTCCTCGATGCGAGAACAAGATCTCCTCGCGTAAGAGTAAACAGTTGAAACGTACATGAAACACTATTAAAAACAATCAAATTATTATTAAAATAAGTTGTTAATTATTTAACTTTTATGTTTTTGTTGTCTAAGCAAATCTTGAGGCACTGGCAAGTCTCCTTCGATCCAACAGACTTTCTCATAGTAATTGGGATTCAAGGCAATCATTCGCTGAAAAATCTTCTTTAAATAGGAAATTGTACATTTTTATTTCTATATGCACTTACAGGATCTTCAAAGCATTTTTTGCTTCTCTCAATTAGGAAAACTTCGCAAAAGTTTCTCGACGAGCACCGAGCCCAAGAAACCGGTGCAGCCGGTCACCAAAATCCATTTTTTCCTATAAAACTCTTCCAATCTTGAGTTTCCAATGAACACTGAATTATTTTATATTACGCTGTATTTTGTATAGCAGACTGGCTAATAATTAATGCAATAGATACAAAGTTCACGGTGAGTTGATAGATAATGTTATCAGTTAATATTAGAGAAAGAACTGATGATGCGTTTATTTGTACATTATATTTATTTCATAGAAATTTCTATTTTGTTATGTTATGACTTACATTTTTCATACATTCATTACATTTTTAATATAATAAACTTAAATTTGGAGTATCTTGATTTGAGATTTGGTTTTGATATGTTTATTAAAGCAGAAAATCTATTGCAGCTCTTCGAATAAAAAGTATCATTGTTATGATTAGTAAACATCCTCATTCCTACAAAGAAACTATAAATGATGGTATGATTCGAAAAGTAATTTGTATTTGATCTAATACGGTAAGATCCCTATGATGCCCTTTTTCTTATAACGAAACAAATTTTCTTTGAAAATGTTTATAACCAAGTAACTCTTAGATAAAGTCATTTTATTTAATTATATACAGGTGAAACATACATGTAATTACGGATTTCGTTATCAGAGGTAACGTTAAACGATCTATAGCCAAATTTATTTATGTTATTCCTTATAAATTATATAACAATAAGTAAAAATTAAAATTTCATCTTAATACCCATATATTTCTCGATACCATAAGGCACGTTATTGAAATAATCTTTCCAATCGATGACCCTTAAATTGAACGGGACCAATTCTTTGTCACGCTGACTGAGCGAATCCCAAATATTTTCCAAATTGTCATTGTCTACAAACAAAGGTTTGTTGAAAAAGTAGTAGATCGCGTCTAGGAATTGATTGATTTTCTTATATAAACGTAGATACCTAATTAATATAACAAAATTATTGTTTTGAAAGGAACATACTTTAATGCATACTTTAGTTTTTGTCTTGTAAAGAAACGGAAAACATCCATGAACATAAATGGAAGATACATGAGTATAAACATTTTGATTACATTCCAATAATAGTTTTTAGTAAATACTCCAGTGATTTTGTTCTTTGTTGCAATCATACAACCTTCGTAGAAGGTAATAGGGTTGTTATTAGATGTATAATTGTAAATTTTGGTATCCTTCGATCTATAAATATTAAAATTATTGTTATTATACTATCAGATAAAATTAAGTTCTTGAATTAACTTATTGTGGATAACATCATAAGTACATGCAATTAAAGCGTTAGCTGTCATATCGACAGGTACGGCATGTGTCATCGCCATGTTTTCTTGGTGATAACTTGGTACGGTCTTTGTTCCCATCAGAATAATAGCACCTAATATACCAGCTTTGCTCTTTACCCAAACTGGATATGGTTATGAATAACTGGAAGTTACTGAAAATCTGTATTAAAAATAGGAACATTTTTATTTCAGTTGACTCACTAATCCCAGGTCTGAAGATTCCTATGCTCATTTGATCTTTAAACGTATCGCAATGGAACTCAGTTGCATTTTTTGAAAACGTATATGAATTGGGCCAATCTTGCATCAACGTTTTTTCAATTTCATCCAATTCGTTTTCACTCAAAGCGTTATATATATCCATCAACGTTTTTGGTTTTAATATTGGTTCGTATATCTTCTCTGCGATGCGAGAACAAGATTTCCTCGCGTTTCTCGACCAGCATCGAGCCCAAGAAACCGGTGCAGCCCGTCACCAAAATAGATTTTTTCCTATAAAACTCTTCCATTCTAGAATTTACAATTAACACTGAATTCTGTTATATTGCGTTGTATTTTATATAGCGGATAGGCTAATAATTAAAAAAATAGATACAAAGTTCACGGTGAGTTGATAGTTAATGTTATCAGTTAATTTTAGAGAAAGAATTGAATATGCGTTTATTCGTAAATAATATTTATTTCATAGAAATTTCTATTTTGTTATGTTATGACTTACGTTTTCACGATTTATGTTTTCAATTCAATAATGAAAATAATTATGTTAATCCATTTTTAATACAATAAACTTAAATTTGGAGTATCTTATAATTAGTAAACATCCTCATTCCTACAAAGAAACTATAACTGGTGGTATGATTAGAAAAATAATGTGTACTTCTTAGTTCAAAGAAATACGCTTAGATGCCCATGATGCCCTTTTCCATACAACAAAACAAATTTTCTTTTAATTTTTTTAGAACCAACTAACACTTCTTTGAATCCATTTTATTTAATTATTTTAGTACAGGTGAAACAGGCATGTAATTACGGATTTTGTTATCAGAGGTAACTTTAACCGATCTATAGCCAAATTTATTTATGTTATTCCTTATAAATTATATAAAAATAAGTAAAAATTAAAATTTCATCTTAATACCCATATATTTCTCGATACCATAAGGCACGTTAATGAAATAATCTTTCCAATCAATGACCCTTAAATTGAACGGAATCAATTCTTTGTCATGCTGACTGAGCGAATCCCAAATATTTTCCAAATTGTCGTTGTCTACAAATAAAGGTTTGTTGGCAAAGTAGTAGATTGCGTCTACGAATTGATTGATTTTCTTATATAAATGAAGATACCTGTTTAATATAATAAAATTATTGTTTTGAAAGAAACATATTTTAATACATACTTTGGTTTTTGTCTTGTAAAGAAACGGAAAACATCCATGAACATAAATGGAATATACATGAGTATAAATATTTTGATTAAATTCCAATAATAGTTTTCGGTAAATACTCCAGTGAGTTTGTTCTTTGTTGCAATCATGCATCCTTCGTAGAAGGTAATAGGGTTGTTGTTAGATGTATAATTGTAGATTTTGGTATCCTTCGATCTATAAATATTAAAATAATTGTTATTATACTATCAGAAAAAAATAAGTTCTTGAATTAACTTATTGTGGATAACATCATAAGTACATGCAATTAAAGCATTAACTGTCATATCGACAGGTACGGCATGTGACATCGCCAAGTTATCTTGGTGAAAAGTTGGTACAGTCTTTGTGCCCATCAGAATAATAGCACCTAACATACCAGATTTGCTCTTTACCCAAAGTGGATATGGCTCTGAATAGCTGGAGGTTACTGAAAATCTGTATTAAGAATATGAACATTTTTATTTCAGTTGACTCACTAATCCCAGGTCTGAAGATTCCTATGCTCATTTGATCTTTAAACGTATCGCAATGGAACTCGGTTGCATTTTTTGAAAACGTATATGAATTGGGCCAATCTTGCATCAACGTTTTTTCAATTTCATCCAATTCGTTGTCACTCAAAGCGTTATATATATCTATCAACGTTTTTGGTTTTAATATTGGTTCGTATATCTTCTCTGCGATGCGAGAACAAGATTTCCTCGCGTTTGAGTAAACAGATGAAACGTATATGAAACACTATTAAAAACAATTACATTGTTGCTACAATAAGTTGTTAATTATGTAACTTTTATGTTTTTGTTATCTAAGCAGATCTTGAGCAGCTCCGCGGTTCCTAACAAATTGTTCTTGATCATCTCGTGGAGCGGATTCTGCATCTTTATTGAAGCTCCAAGATGAAGAACAATATCCACGGTTTTGATAACAGCAATATCTTCGTTGGACATGTTCAGACTAGGCATCGTCAAGTCTCCTTCGATCCACTGAACTTTCTCATAGTAATTGGGATTCAGGGCAATCATACGCTCAAAAATCTTCGTTAAATAAGAAATTGTTTCATTTTTATTTATGTATGCACTTACAGGATCTTCGAAGTATTCTTTGCTTCTCTCGATGAGATTCATTGTTTCCTTCTTCCTAGCCAACAAGTAGAGTTTCGTTATGTCGGGAAAGCTTCGCAAAAGCTTCTCGACGAGCATCGAGCCCAAGAAACCGGTGCAACCAGTTACAAAAATTGTTTTATTCCTATAAAACTCTTCCATTTTCAAAATATCAATAACAACTATATACCTTCGTCTATCGTACCAGCATTTTATATAGCTGATAGTATTATAATTGATGGAATGAATACAACGTTCAGAATTGTAATCAGTCAATTTATAGTAATTACTACCTTCCGTCATAAACAATTGCTTAGCATCATTTTTTAAGACATTTTTGTATGTATTGATTGAGTTAACTTAATTCTTATTTTGGCATTTTATTTTATTTTCTAGTACAAATGCTGGCTATATGTTGCTCCAATCCAAGAACTATCATTATTATCAATTTTATTTATTAAAGAACAATAGGATATACTTGAAAACTTAAGGTTTTTTGAAAAATAATGTTTTATTTTCTCTGCTTTTTTTGTAACAACTTTTTGACTGGCTCTTCGTTTGAAATTTTGAAATCCTTTGCTTATTCTTAGATAAATCAGTATTAAATTATCTAATGGGTTAAAGTTGTAAAGTTGAAGAAGCATAGTGAAATGGTGAAATGTACATTCAAATTGTGGACTTTGTTATTGGCATAGGTTTGACTGTATATAAAAAATATATATAACTATATTTATTCATGTTATTTCGAACCAATTATAAACAAAAACTAACAAACAATTTAAATTTTCATCTTAATACCCAAATATTTCTCGATGCCGTAAGGCACGTTATAGAAATAATCTTTCCAATCGATGACTCTCAAATTGAACGGAACCAATTCCTTGTCATGCTGACTGAGCGAATCCCAAATATTTTCCAAATTATTGTTGTCCACAATCAACGGTTTGTTGCTAAAATAGAAGATCGCATCTAAGAATTGATTGATTTTCTCATATAATCGTAGATACCTATATAAAATAAAGATGTTACTATTTTTAATGAAGTATATTTTAATACAAACTTTGGTTTTTGCAGTGTAAAGAATCGAAAAATATCCATCAATAGATATGGAAGATACAAAAGAGTAAACATTTTGATCGCATTCCAGTAATAGTTGTAAGTAATAATTGAAGTGCCTTTATTTTTCGTTGCAATAATGAAACTATCGTGGAAGGTAATAGGGTTGTTGTTGGAAGTGTAATTATAGATTTTGGTGTCCTTCGATCTATAAATATAAAAATGATTATAATTATACTAGCAGAAAAAAAACTAATTAACTTATTATGGATAACATCATAAGTGCTTGTAATTAAAGCGTTGGCTGTCATATCGACTGGTACGGCGTGCGACATTGCTTTTTTATCTACGTAGTAACTTGGTAGTACCTTTGTTACAGTCAGAATAATAGCACCTAATATGCCAGCTTTACTCTTCACCCAAACTGGATATGGCTCTGAATAACTGGAAGTTACTGAAAATCTGTATTAAAAAACATATCGCGTCTATTTCAGTTAACTCACTAGTCCCAGGTCTGAAGATTCCTATGCTCATTTGATCTTTAAACGTGTCGCAATGGTACTCGGCCACATTTTTTATGAATGTATATGAATTGGGCCAATCTTGCATTAACGAGTTTTCAATTTCATCCAATTCGTCAATAGTTAAACCATTAGATATATCCAGCAAAGTTTCTGGTTTTAATATTGGTTCGTATATCTTCTCTTCGATGCGAGAACAAGATTTCCTCGCGTTGGAGTAAGCCGATGAAACGTATATAAAACACTATTAAAAACAATTATATTATTGTTAAAATAAGTTGTTAATTATATAACTTTTATATTTGTATTGTCTGAGCAGATCTTGAGCAGCTCCGCCGTTCCAAACAAATTATTTTTGATCATCTCGCGAAGCGGATTCTTCATCTTTATCGAAGCCCCAAGATGTATAACAATATCCACGGTTTTGATCACCTGCATGTCTTCGTTGGACAAGTTTAGACGAGGCATTGTCAAGTCTCCTTCGATCCAACAGACTTTCTTGTAGTAATTGGGATTCATGGAAATCATTCGCTCAAAAACCTTCGTTAAATAAAAAAATGTTAAATTTTTCTTTGTACGTGCACTTACAGGATATTTGAAGTATTCTTTGCTTCTCTCCATAAAATTAATTGTTTGTTTCTTCCTAGCCAACAAGTAAAGTTTCGTTATGTCGGGGAAGCTTCTTAGAAGCTTCTCGACGACCATTGAGCCCAAGAAACCAGTGCCGCCGGTTAGAAAAATTGTTTTATTCCTATAAAACTCCTCCATTTTCGAAATACCAACAACAACAGAATACCTTCATTTATCGTATCTGGATCATATATAGGTGATAGGCTTATAATTGATGCAATATATACAAAGGCCATGTTTAGTTGATAGTTAATGTAATCAGTCAATTTTATAGAAAGAACGAATGAATATTCATTTAACACACATTTTCGTAATTTATTTCAATTCAATAATGTAAAGAGCTGCTTGAATAACTTAATTTTTATTGTTTTGTTTTTTTTTGTAGTAGAAATTGTGGCCGTGTTTGCCTTAATCTCAAGGATCTCTAAGCATTTCTTAGTGACTTGTTTTCTAGAACAATAAATTTCAATTGCGTTTCTAATGTATATTATCTGGGACGGAACTAACTAACTCTAGTGCCCCTGACTAACATTGTTTGGTGGCCTTTTATCATAAAATGTACCTTATTGATTGAACGTGGCATCGAGCTGCAATCCATAAATAAATAGGTAGGAAAGTCCTATGACAGTGTTTTCCAGAAAATTGTTATAAACAAATTAGTAATTAAGTCTTGGTTGACCGCTCTTCTATTTGATTTTCATATTGCTTTGAAATTCCTTACTTATATTAAACCTTTCTTATTAGAAGTAACAATAACCTACTTTTGACTGTATATAAATTAACTATAACTAAATTAACTTATGTTATTCCGTACAAATTATAAAATATAAAATTAAACATTCATCTTAATACTATACCAATAGATAGTTTCAAATGTTTTTATTCATATATGAAGTGGTTTACATGATTGAATTTTACATAGTATTCATACTGCTTAAGCCTAAGCTCTTTCAGCATGCAGTTTAAGGGTTAGATTTGATGAATATTAAAAAAAATAACATTATAGGATAGAAGCACATTGTAGAGTAAAAACAGAACATTCTTGAAATCAGGATGAGATTTAGAACATGAATAGAAATTTTAAAGAACACATTTAGACAAGTACACATTTAGAAAACATTAAGATTACACATTTTAAAGGACACCTAATACACATTTTATAGACACTAAGAAATATAAATAAGAAAGAAATTGGAATATGGAATATCACAGAAAGAATGGGCTAATGTTTTCAGTAAGATCATTGAAAATGGGAACATCAGATTCAAGTTTCTGCACTAGTTCAGCTGGAGGGAATGGCATTTTAATTTTTGGTTTTAGCCTGAGACAGCTACTGGGAGGAAGTTCGAATAGAGAAAGTGTGTGATGATTGTGTATTTGAATTCTGAGAGCTAGTTTTTCTATACCAATAAAAATTTCTCCAAGGTACGTTATAAAAATAATCTTTCCAATCGATGACTCTCAAATTGAACGGAACCAATTCTTTATAATACTTGCTTAGCGAATCCCAATATTTTCCAAATTATCGTTGTCTACAACCAAAGGTTTGTTGGTAAAGTACTAGATCGCGTCTATAAATTTGTTGAAATTCTCATATAATCGTAGATACTTATTTAAAATAGCGGCATTATTGTTTTGAAACAAGAATATTTGTTTCTTGTTGCATAATTGCATGCATCGTAGTAGGTAACAGTTGTTGTTGTTCGAGATGTAATTGTATATTTTGGTGTCCTTCGATCTATAAATATAAAAATCATGGTTAATACACCAGCAAAAAAGAATCAACTATCTAATCAACTTATTCATTACGACATCGTAGGTGCAAGTAATTAGAGCGTTGGCTGTCATATCGACAGGTACTGCGTGCGTAATCGCCGTTCTTTTCATATAATAACTATGTACTATCCCTGAAGCTAACAACATGATTGCACCTAATAGACCAGCTTTGCTATTTGCCCAAAATGGAATCGGCTTGGAGAAACTAGAAGTTACTAAAAATCTGCATTAAGAAACGAGTTGTATTTATTTATGTTGGCTCACTAATCCCAGGTCTGAAGATTCCAATACTAAATTGATCTTTAAATGTGTCGCAATGGTACTCGTTCGCGTTTTTTGTGAACGTGTATGAATTGGGCCAATCTTGCATCAAGGTGCATTCAATTTTATCCAATTCGTCGTCAGTTAAACCTTTAGATGTATCTATCAATGTTTCAGGTTTTAATACTGGTTCATATATATTCTCCTCAATGCGAGAACAAGATCTCCTCGCGTTGGAGTAAGCCGATGACACGAACATGAAACATTAAGAAAAACAAGTACATTTTTGTTACTACAGGTTGTTAATTATATAACTTTTATGTTTTTTTGTTTAAGCTGATCTTGAGAAGCTCCGCCGTTCCTAACATATTATTCTTGATCATCTCGTGCAGCGGATTCTGCAGCTTTATCGAAGCTCCAAGACAAATAACAATATCCATAGTTTTGATCACCTGCATGTCGTCGTTGGAAAAGTTCAAATCAATCATCGTCAAATCCTTTAATCCAAGTGACTCTCTCATAATAATTGGAATTCATTGACTCAAAAAGCTACGTTAAATTAAAAAATGTGTAACGTTTCTTTATCTATATATATCCTTGAAATATTCTTTGCTCCTCTCAATAAAATTCATCTTTCCCTTCTTCCTAGATAACAAATAGATATATAGGGAAAACTTCGCAAAAGCTTCTCGACGAGCATGTAGCCCAAGAAACCGGTGCAGCCGGTCACGAATATCGTTTTATTCTTATTAAACTCTTCCATTGTCAACTGAATTCCGTCGCCTATCATATCTAGAATTTACATAGGTGATAGGATTATAATTCATGCATTGATGCAACAAAGTCCATATTGCGTTAATACTAATTATTAGTGAGCTCGTGGCAGTCTTTATTTCTATTTTAAACATTTTTTTATAAGTATTTTTTTATGCAATTGAATTTGTCAGATCGAATTGACCTAATTCAATTGTGGTGGAACGCTATTTGCAAATTAGTTGTGGCAAATGATGTTTTTTTTTTGCAATTAGGCTTTTGACCTATGTACTATTCGCGTACTTGCTGTTCGTGCGTAGGTATGAAGGTCATGGCGCCTCAACAGGAAGATCTAGTTGACCTGGATATTCAAGTACTCGATCTTGACCATTCCGTCATTCTCTTAACATTACAATTTCCATCACGTTCCAAGTCCTTCCTCGCTTCCTATAAATATATGAATTCATTTCAATTTTTGCATTAAATTATTGGAATTAATTATAATTAATTACACTTATAAATATATATATCAGGATTATTATTCTAAATTTTTGTAATTTATGTTTATTTTTAACATTTTGAAGTTCATTAAATCTCTTTCGTTTTTGCTCAAACTGTTAAATGGAACATATATAAAAATAATGGACAAATGACTAAACAGAAATTACATTGGCAATTACGACAAGAAAGAAATTATAAATCATTGTGCAGTGTTACCATTTATATAGACGTTAATTGTCTATTACTTATTTTCGAAAGTTGCAATAAATTGAGTTTTTTTTAAGTTAATTAGATCGGATTTTTTGTAATAAATTTAAAAATCTTCTATACAATTTCTAAATTTCTAAACATTTTGGAAATGCATGCTTTTTCCAATTTATTTACTTTAGATCAAAATCAAGTATTTTTTTCTATTTTTGTTCAAACTATTAACTTGTCATTGAGATTGTTAATTTATTCCATTCATTACAAAATGAAATATATGTGAATGAATTATTTAAAATATATGCAAATGACTGAATTAATATCAAATCACAATATACGGCTTATTTATTTTCATCAAAATTTAATAACTTTAACTCTATTTCCAAGATTTTGGAAATACTCTTCCCAATTGAAGTTGTTTAGATCAAATTAAAGTTTTTTTCATCTATGTTAAAGTTGTTAAATACAATTATTATTAATGACGCATATTTGAAAGCTATATATAAAAAAGCAAATATTTTTCATCTTTGATTATATTGTGAGTGTCGATAGTCAACTTCTTGTGGAATTGTAATTATTGGCTAAGGTAATAATTGTAATTATTGGCTAAAGTAATAAATCTGAAAGAAGTATGCAAGAAAAATGGTGAGTAGTAAGGTGTAAATGAAAAATACCTCGGTTTAAGTTCATTACGAATTAACATCAAATCAAACAACAATGCACGGCTGTAAGTTATTGTATACTGTTTCAATATATACAAACTATAATTCTGTTAGTCTGTTAGTATTTTGTCCAATGGTTTATCAATAGAATCGCTAATGGAACATGTATTGTCATTAGATGTATAATTATAGACTTGAGCAACGTTTTTCCTAAAAAAATGTATAAAGTTTTGTAACCTTGCGTAGTTTAGATACGTAATTTTCTTTTTATTTCTTGATTGACTATTAAGATTTATCTTTATTTTTATAATTATTATCCGTCTGTAACAACTTGACATGCAGCTACCAATAAAGCGTTAGATGTAAAATTAACGGGGATCGAATGCGAGTTGACATTTTTCACCAAATAACAGCTGGACAATAAGTTTCTTGATTGAATAGTGATGGGTCCAGAATCACCGACTTGCACTTTGTTCAACTAAAAATGTATTTTTGTTATAAGAAAGTTAAGTTAAGAAAGTTAAGAAAGTTAAGAAAGTTAAGAAAGTTAAGAAAGTTAAAGTTAAGAAAGTTAAGAAAGTTAAGTTAAGAAAGTTAAGAAAGTTAAGAAAGTTAAGAAAGTTAAGAAAGTTAAGAAAGTTAAGAAAGTTAAGAAAGTTAAGAAAGTTAAGAAAGTTAAGAAAGTTAAGAAAGTTAAGAAAGTTAAGAAAGTTAAGAAAGTTAAGTTATAAATTTACTATTTCCTGGCCTAAATATATCTACTGGAAAATAAATGTCGTAATTATTGCTTGCGTACTCGATGATCGATTTGCTGAAGGCTGAAGGTGGCCAATCATACAACAAATGATTATCCAGATTATACCTCCTCTTATATATAATAAGTTCATCATTTTTATTAAGCTTTCAGGTCGGTAATTTGGAATGTGCACCTTTTCTTCAATGAGATAGCAAAATATAGAATACGCCGAAGAAAACACTGTAATTTAATGGATTTTTTCGAGAAAATTTAATATGAAACAGATTTATATTAGCTTGCAGTTAACGGAATTCTTTAAATTTTTTAGTAAATCCATCGTTCCAAACAAGTTTATCTGCAACATTATTGGAAATTCATCCATGAAATTCAAAGAACTTCCCATGTGTTGAACGATTTCGGCATCCTCCACAGCTTTAAGATCTCCAGAGCTTAGCTTCAAACCTTTCTGCGACAAATCCCCATTAAGCCATTCCACGCTCCTATGGTACTCCCAATTCCGAATATATTTACAATCATTATTAACCCTCCATTGCATGAATTTATTTAAAATTAAATTTAAAATCTAGTAGAAATCAAATTTTGTTTTATGTCGTGTAATTTTATTCACAATCTGTTTATCAATGTGAACATTGAGTAAATATAAGATTGTGGTTGACATTAGGTAATCTTTCCCGGTTGATAGTTACCATTATAATATGGTTGTCTGTCGTCTGTAGGTTAACTTCAATAGTACATTGATGCTCTGCGATTTCACTATTTCCTTTGACTGTGAATATGCAAATATCCTTAACACTGTCATTATCCATTGACTTGGCCGAAGGTCCATATGCTGAACTTCATTCATTTCAGTGTCAAAATTAAAAAATCAAAATTATCAAAACTATCCACCGGGAAAAGATTACTTACCTAATGTCAACCGCGATCTTAAAAAAATATATTACATGCAAAATGAGCCTTGAAATTGGGGACTTTGTATATTGAAGTGTCGTGTCCCAGGGATGGTTTTCTGGACACTGTGGGATATTTTCTTCTGTTGTCTGTTGTGGAGCCTTAGGTTTGGTAAATATTGAATTGAACGACTTTTACTTTCGGTTTATTATTAAAATATTCTTCAAAGTGTTTGCTTTATTGTGGTTCTTCACCCAGTAGTTGATTCTTTAGCGTTCTTCCTAAGACTAATTATAAATCCTTATTCTACGTATAAAATTAACTAAGCAAGGGGGTGGGAGTTTGAGGAGTAAAGCACGGTTTTGATAAGACGCTCCGCTTCAGGTCACTGCACCTATACGGATTTTTCCAATTCTGGGTCTGGTTGAAAATATGAGCGATGTTCTTTCAGTAGCTGGTCTCGATGAAGGCTACCTTTATGCTGATGTATATATTTATTATGGCGACTAAGAGACACTATATTAACAATAATAATTGTAATAATAACGGTTGGACACAACAGAAGTTCCGTTATCAGGCGAGGTATATTTGTATATAAATTAACAAAAAATATAATTACTAACTTTATTCATGATAAAACAATTAAAATTAAATTTTCATCTTAATGCCCAAATATTTCTCGATGCCGTATGTCATGTTAATGAAATAATCCTTCCAATCGATGACTCTCAAATTAAACGGAACCAAGTCCTTATCTCGCTGACTGAGCGATTCCCAAATATTTTCCAAATTATCGTTGTCTACAATCAAAGTTTTTTCGGAAAAGTAGTTAATTGCGTTTAGGAATTTATTGATCTTCTCATATACTCGTAGATACCTATTTAAAATAATTATATTATTGATTAGAATAAAGAATGATCTAATACAAACTTTGTTTTCTGTCGCGTGAAGAATCGAAAAATATCCATGAATAGAAATGGAATGTACATGAAAATAAAAATGTTGATCGCATTCCAATAATAGTTGTAAGTAATAACTGAAGAAAATGTATCTTTTGTTGCATGCATACAGGCATCGTAGTAGGTAATAGGGTTGTTGTTAGAAGTATAATTGTAGATTTTGGAGTCCTTCGATCTATAAATATATTAAAATTATGGTTATTACATTAGCAGAAAACAATACATTATCTAATTAACTTATTCTTGACGACGTCGTAGGTGCATGTAATTAAAGCGTTGGCTGTCATGTCGACAGGTACGGCGTGCGATATTGCCGAATTTTTTATGTAATAACTTGGTAATGTTTTTGATCCCAACAACATGATGGCACCTACTAAACCAGCTTTGCTTTTTACCCAGTATGGAAACGGTTCGGAGATACTGGAAGTTACTTAAATTTTACTTTAAAAAACGTATTGTATTTTTTTGTATTGACTCACTATTTCCAGGTCTGAAGATTCCTACGCTCATTTGGTCATTAAACGTGTCGCAATGGTACTCGGTCACATTTTTTGAAAACGTATACGAATTGGGCCAATCTTGCATTAACGTGTTTTCAATTTCATTCAGTTCTTCATTGGTTAAAGAGTTATATATATCCAGCAACGTTTCTGGTTTTAAAACTGGATCGTATATCTTCTCCTCGATGCGAGAACATGATCTCCTCGCATTCGAGAAAGCAGATGAAACGTACATAAAACACTATTAAAAACAATTATATTGTTGTCACAATAAGTTATTAACTATGCAACTTTTATGTTTTTGTTGTCTAAGCTGATCTTGAGCAGCTCCGATGTTCCTAATAAATTATTCTTTATCATCTCGTGAAGCGGATTCTGCATATTTATCGAAGCCCCAATATGTATAATAATATCCACAGTTTTCATGGCCTGCAAGTCGTCGTTGGACAAGTTCAATTGAGGCATCGTTAAGTCTCCTTCGATCCACTGAACTCTCTCATAGTAATTGGGATTGACGGAAATCATTCGCTCAAAAATCTTTGTTAAATAAGTTAAATTGTTTATTTTTTTATATATGCACTTACCGGATCTTCGAAGTATTCTTTGCTCCTCTCATTGAAACTCATCGGTCCTTTCTTCCTAGCTAATAGGTATAGCTTCGATAGATCGGGAAATATGCGCAAAAACTTCTCGACGAGCATAGACCCCAAAAAACCGGTGCAACCGGTCACCAAAATCGTTTTATTTCTATAAAACTCTTCCATTATTAAAATATCAACAAGAACTGAATTTTGTCGTCTGTCGTATTTGGATTTTATAGACTAATAATCAATTTCGGAGCTGCAAAGTCGAGGTGGGGCAGCATTAAAGCGGTCGTAAATGTTTATTTTTTATACGTCCGAAAAAATCGATTACGAATATTCATTATAATTAACCAGTATAATTAAATAAATACATATATGTAAATATTAAAAAAAGTAACTGATTTATATACATGTATTCGATTGATTTGTGAAAAAGATTCTATGAATGTTGAACTAAATTATTTAGGTATGGAAACGTATTGTTTCACTGTATTAAATTGAATATTTTGATTTATATATTTATCAAAGTTAGACAATACTTGAAACCAATTGTAACAAAACCAGTTCGAAAACATATCTAATGATGATGATTATCACTGTAATGAAGATATATACAAATAATTACGGTAAACATGTTCTAGGTTAATAGATGTTCCGTGAAAATCTGAAATAAAATAATTACTAAATAAATAATGACAGTTTCTTTTCATTTTTTCTAATATTATTGATTATATGTTTTAACTTACCCTACAAAATAATCAAGATTATCTGTAAAAATTTCAGGATTTACAAAGTGTTCCGTTACAGTTATAGTTTGGAAAACCCTGACGGGTTTGGTGAAGGTTAATTGGCCAATTGTACATGAAATTATCATCCAGACGATCTCAATCGGTAATTTGGAATGTAAACTTTTTTTATGTTGTCATAACATTCTCGTTGATTGTTACAAACAAATCAGTAAGTAACTCTTAGCTAACCGATTTTTTATTTAATTTTCATATTGCAGATAAAATGGGCCTTGAATTTACGCATTTGATTTGATTTTTAATTTTTAATTATTGTATAAAAAAAATGATGTCTTTTGGTCGAGGCTGTACAATATATATTTTCTTTTAATTTGGGTAAGTCAGTGTTTGCTATATGTCGGGTGAGTTAGAAGTATTCATAATGTGGGGAAAAGTTGGTGAGGATTAATGTTTTGAAAAAACCCTCTTCGAATTGCGCACTTCGTTATATTCAACCTTCGTTATTAGAGAGAGTATATATATATATTAATAAAAAAAACATCTATTACTAAATTTGGAAGTATAGTTGTAGATTTTGGTGTCCTTCGATCTAGAAATATATTATAATTATTTTTATTACATTAGCAAAAAACAATCAATTATCTAATCAACTTGTTCTTGACGACATCAAAGGTGCATGTAATTAGAGCGTTGGCTGACATATAGACAGGTGCGGCGTGGGACATCGATGTGGTTGTAATGTAATAACTTGGTAATGTCTTTGATCAAACCTACTAAAACAGCTTTTTACCCAGTAAGGAAACTAATAAATTAAAACCAAATAGATTTGCTGCAAAGGACTATAGACCATAGGTCTTTCTGACTCATAATTTTTAATATTTTGAAAATGCTTTAATTGATTTTTCTTTAGATAAACGATTTCTTTTTCAACTTTGTTCTACTTGTTAAATTTTTGATATTACATTTGTTGACAATATTTAAAAAAAAAGTATGCAAATAATTAACTACAACTGTCGTCAATAGACGACGAAACATTCGTGAGGTTCGGCTCAGGTTCGATTTGATGAATTATCCTGTGATACGGTTAGCCACTATTGACCAATCTATATACTATTGTAAGATTTGTTATCTCTGAACTTAATTATGATTACAGTATGCACATATATTATATGATTATTTCATCTTTTTTTATACCGTGTTTTATGGGTATATTTATTTATTATATCAAACTATTTATCATACTTAGATGTATTTATTTTATCCACATTAAATATCCGAATGTAGGTAGATAAGTATTTCTTTTTTATTTTTGTTCAACCTGTTAACTTTTTGATATTTGTTGACAATACTTCTACTATTGCTAATGAAAATATTCCTGAAAGAAGTGTAAAAAAAGTTATGCAAATAATTAACAATTTAACTGCAACTGTCGTCAATAGACGACGAAACAAAACATTCGTGAGGTTCGATTTGTTGAAGTTTGCTGTGATACGGTTGACCACTATTGACCAATCTATATACTATTGTAAGATTTGTTATCTACACATATATTTACTATATACTTATTTATTATATCTACATGTATTTATTTTATCCACATTAAATATTCGAATGTAGGTGTAGTAGAAATATTTCTTTTATTACTATCTTCCTAGAATTTTCTTATATTTTCTTTGAAAATTAGTATTATAAATGTCGCGAGACAAATTTTACATAAACATAAAACTCTGCAGATAGACCGGGGAGACAAAGAATGGAAACATTTATCATTTAGCTGTTAGGTTTAGCAGTTAATATTCCATCTACTAAAAGTAGGCAAAAAAAGATAAATATAAATTTGCCATATATGCTCAAATATTGTTCGAAGTGAAAAAAGAAAAGAAAATATGTTACAACTTCGTGTCCTGAGTGTAAAATGGGACTTTCGTATAAAGGACTGTTACAAAATTAATCGCACTAGAATAAATTTTTAATAATCTGAAATAAAAATGTTCAAATTATTCATAATTCCGATTTAGTTTTTCATTTTTAAATTTGTCGTAAAATATGTTAGTGATGTCATAAAAATAATGTAATTAAATAATAAATTATTAAAATACATCGGTTTATAATCATTTGTATTTATTATTCATTAACACAGCAATGAACGTCTGCAATTTATGCAAATATAGCAAAATAAAATGTCAGCGAATAAATCTGTAAATTCCAGGTTGTTTATTCTTTGAGTACAAATTGCACCAAAACTCTTGACGCTGCGCGAAAAATATGTACCGCGTTCGAAAATCATGCTATAAGTGATCGAACAGCACAGAAGAGTTTCATGAGATTTTTTTTGGAAATTTCATTTTGATCGACATAGAAGCGCTTTTGGAAACTGAAGATCATTAACAGCGAGAAGTTGTGTAATTAAATTAAAGCAGAACCTGATTGCGGAAATGTTCTATGTGAGTGATGAAATCATTTGTTTGCACCTTCACCAGATAGTAAAATAATAAATTCTTCAGTCGATACTCGAATGCCTCCTCAACTCTTCCGTCTTCAAACATTTAACTGGTTGACCAATACGGAAAAGGTTCTAAATTAGTGGACGAATCTCAAAAGGTAAAATATTTTAGAAGAAATTTCAAGTTATAAATTTACTATTTCCTGGTTAACATAAAAAAAAACTGGAATAAATTTAGCAGATGTATTCGGTGATGGATTTGGTGAAGGTGCGCATTTGGCTAATTGTATATGAAATGATTAAGATTTAATGTTGTCATCACATTCTCAAAATATGTTCCAAAAAAATCAGTAAAAAACTCTTGGATTTTCTTTTATTCGATTACAGATAAAATGGTCCTTGAAATTACGGACTTCCAAATATTAGCCTAGGTATGACTGAATATTTCGTACAAATTATAAAGTAAATTATAATTTGATCTTAATACCCAAATATTTCTCGATGCCGTATGTCATGTTAATGAAATAATCTTTCCAATCGATTGAACGGAACCAAGTATTTATCACGCTGCCTGAGCGAATCCCAAATATTATCCAATAGTTTATTGAAAAAATAGTTAATTGCGTTTAGGAATTGATTGATTTTCTCATATACTCGTAGATATCTATTTAAAATAATTATATTATTAATTAGAAACAAGAATGTTCTAATACAAACTATGTTTTCTATTGCGAGAACAATCGGAGAATATCCATGAACAGAAATGGAATGTACATGAAATTGAAAATTTTGATCGCATTTTAATAATAGTTATCAGTAATAATTGAAGAAAGTTTGTTTTTTTGTTGCATGCATCCAGACTTCATGGTAGTTAATAGGGTTGTTGTTGGAAGTATAGTTGTAGTTTCTGGTGTCCTTCGATCTAGAAATATATTTTAATTATTGTTATTATATTAGCAGAAAACAATAATTTATCTAATTAACTTGATCTTGACGACATTGAAAGTGCACGTAATTAGAACGTTGGCTGTCATATCGACAGGTACGGCGTGGTTGTAATGTAATAACTTGGTAATATCTTTGATCCCAACAACATGATGGCAGATCTACTGACCGTAGGTCTCTCTGACTCATAATTTTCAATATTTTGAAAATACTCCAATTGATTTTTCATTAGATAAAAGTATTTCTTTTTTATTTTTGTTCAATCTGTTAACTTTTTGATATTTGTTGACAATACTTCTACTATTGCTAATGGAAATATTCCTGAAAGAAGTGTAAAAAAAGTTATGCAAATAATTAACAATTTAACTGCAACTGTCGTCAATAGACGACGAAACAAAACATTCGTGAGGTTCGATTTGTTGAAGTTTGCTGTGATACGGTTGACCACTATTGACCAATCTATATACTATTGTAAGATTTGTTATCTACACATATATTTACTATATACTTATTTATTATATCTACATGTATTTATTTTATCCACATTAAATATTCGAATGTAGGTGTAGTAGAAATATTTCTTTTATTACTATCTTCCTAGAATTTTCTTATATTTTCTTTGAAAATTAGTTTTATAAATGTCGCCAGACAAATTTTACAAAAACATAAAACTCTGCAGATAGACCGGGGTGACAAAGAATGGAAACATTTATCATTTAGCTGTTCGGTTTAGCAGTTAATATTCTATCTACTAAAAGTAGGCAAAAAGATAAATAATTTGCCATATATGCTCAAATATAGTGTAAAATGGGACTTTTGTATAAAGGACTGTTACAAAATTAATCGCACTAGAATAAATTTTTAATAATCTGAAATAAAAATGTTCAAATTATACATAATTCCGATTTAGTTTTTCAGTTTTAAATTTGTAGTAAAATATGTTAGTGATGTCATAAAAATAATGTAATTAAATAATAAATTATTAAAATACATCGGTTTATAATCATTTGTATTTATTATTCATTAAAACAGCAATGAACGTCTGCAATTTATGCAAATATAGCAAATTAAAATGACAGCGAATAAATCTGTAAATTCCAGGTTGTTTATTCTTTGAGTATAAATTGCACCAAAACTCTTGACGCTGCGTGAAAAATATTCTTTTATTCGATTACAGATACAATGGTCCTTCAAATTACGGACTTCGAAATATCAGCCTAGGTATGACTGAATATTTCGTACAAATTATAAAGTAAATTATAATTTGATCTTAATACCCAAATATTTCTCGATGCCGTATGTCATGTTAATGAAATAATCTTTCCAATCGATTGAACGGAACCAAGTATTTATCACGCTGCCTGAGCGAATCCCAAATATTATCCAATAGTTTATTGAAAAAATAGTTAATTGCGTTTAGGAATTGATTGATATTATTAATTAGAAACAAGAATGTTCTAATACAAACTATGTTTTCTATTGCGAGAACAAACGGAGAATATCCATGAACAGAAATGGAATGTACATGAAATTGAAAATTTTGATCGCATTTTAATTATAGTTGTCAGAAATAACTGAAAAAAGTTTGTTCTTTGTTGCATGCATCCAGATTTTGTGGTAGTTAATAGGGTTGTTGTTGGAAGTATAGTTGTAGTTTATGGTGTCCTTCGATCTAGAAATATATTTTAATTATTGTTATTACATTGGCAGAAAACAAAAATTTATCTAATCAACTTGTTCTTGACGACATCGAAGGTGCACGTAATTAGAGCGTTGGCTGTCATATCGACAGATACGGCGTGGTTGTAATGTAATAACTTGGTAATATCTTTGATCCCAACAACATGATGGCACCTACTAAAACAGTTTTTCTTTTTACCCAGTAAGGAAACTAATAAATTAAAACCAAATAGATTTGCTGAAAAGGTCTACTGACCATAGGTCTCTCTGACTAATAATTCTCAATATTTTGAAACTGATTTATTTTTCATTAGATATAAGTATTTTTTTTTATCTTTGTTCAACCTGTTAACTTTTTGATATTTGTTGACAATACTTCTACTATTGCTAATGAAAATATTCCTGAAAGAAGCGTGTAAAAAAAGTTATGCAAATAATTAACAATTTAACTGCAAACTGTCGTCAATAGACGACGAAACAAAACATTCGTGAGGTTCGATTTGATGAATTTTGCTGTGATACGGTTGACCACTATTGACCAATCTATATACTATTGTAAGATTTGTTATCTACACATATATTTACTATATACTTATTTATTATATCTACATGTATTTATTTATCCACATTAAATTTCCGAATGTAGGTGTAGTAGTAATATTTCTTTTATTACTGTCTTTCTAGAATTTTCCTATGTTTTCTTCATTCCGCGTTGAAAATTAGTATTAGAAATGTTTTACAAAAACATAAAACTCTGCAGGTAGACCGGGAAGACAAAGAATGAAAATATTTATCATTTAGCTGTTAGGTTTAGCAGTAAATATTCCATCTACTGAAAGTAGTAGATATTATTCGAAGTGAAAAAAGAAAAGAATACATTTTAATAAACCTGAAATAAAAATGTTCAAATTATTGATAATTCCGATTTAGTTTTTCATTTTTAAATTTGTCGTAAAATATGTTCTTGATGAGAATAATGTGTCATTAAAATAATGTAAATAAATAATAAATTAATAAAATTCATCGGTTTATAATCATTTGTATTTATTATTCAATAAAACAGCAATGAACGTCTGCAATTTATGCAAATATAGCAAATTAAAATGACAGCGAATAAATCTGTAAATTCGAAGTTGTTTATTCTTTGAGTACAAATTGCACCAAAAATATGTACCGCGTTCGAAAATCATGCTTGTGATCGAACAGCACAAAAGAGTTTCATGATATTTTCTTTTGGAAATTTAATTTTGATCGACATAGAATTGCTTTTGGAAACTGAAGATCATTAACAGCCAGAAGTTGTGTAACTAAAATCAAGCGGAATCTACTTGCGAAAATGTTCAATGTGAGTGATAAAATCATTTGTTTGCATCTTCACCAGATAGGAAAATAATAAATTCCTCAGTCGATACTCGAATGCCTTCCATATTCAACCAGTTAACTGGTTGACTAACAGCCATTGGATCCAGCAATTATTTGATTTTTATGATAATGAAAATGAGTTCAAAAATACATCTTTACTAAGATATTGATACTCCACTCCACTGTCATATACTTAACTGGTAGTTATAGATCACGATAACCTTAATGCAGCTCTGCAAATATGTATAGCTATGTATTTGATACGCATATGCTAATAAAGAGTTAGCTGTTAAATAAACGGGAACGGAATACGAGTTTACGTATTTCTTCCAATAAAAACTAGATAAGAAATTTATTGACCAATACGGAAAAGGTTCTAATAAGTGGACGAATCTCGAAAGGTATAATATTTTAGAAGAAATTTTATGTTATAAAATACTCTTGGATTTTTATTATTCAATTACACATAAAATGGGTCTTGAAATTACGGACTTCGAAATATTGAAGCCCCGTTATCAGCCAAGGTATGACTGAATATTCCGTATAAATTATAAAATAAATATTATATTTTCATCTTAATATCCAAATATTTCTCGTTGCCGTATATACATATATATTATTGATATAATCTTTCCAATCGAATTAAACGGAACCAAGTCTTTATCATGCTGGATGAGCGAATGCCAAATATTTTACATGTAAGCGTTATTTAAAATTATAGGTTTGTTTTTAAAATAGTGGATTAATTGATTGATTTTCTTATATAATTGTATAACACTGTCATTGTCCATCGACTTGGCTGAAGGTCCATATGCTGATTCATTTGACTGTCCATCTGTGATGAACGTTGGCCCTATTGCTGCAAACACCGAGAGGGCTCACAAAGGGTTTGGCTTGACCAGGATTCGAACCGGCGCCCATGAAATTGTGGGTAGGGCGACTTAACCATTCGGATATTAGTCGCGCTATTCATTTGAATACTTTGGTTTTGGAAGTATAATGAATGAATAAATGAATGAAGTGTTTATACACATTTTGATAGTTTTGTATTTGCAGTGCATTTGTTCTTTGTTGCAATCATGCAACCTTCGTAAAAGGTAATTATAGATGCAGGTGATAACTTGATATTGCATCTGCATTAAAAGATGCAACTTATTTCTTGTATTGAACTCACTGATTCCAGGCCTGAAGATTCCTCTTCTCATGTGAGGTTATTTTATTTGAGAATGTATACGAATTGTGCCAATCTTGCATACACAGGTTTTCAATTTCATTCATTCTTTGGTCTTCTCAATGAGATAAGATAGTACTTCTTAAATTCATTTCAAACATCTTTTCAACCTTGCTCAAGCTGTTCCATGCACATTTATATGTTACAATTGTGGACAATTGACTTCCGGTTAATTAAAAAAACTAGTTACAATTATTACTAAATTAAATATAAGAAAAAACAATATACAAATGAGTTAATAATGAACTAAACAGTAATTACATCAATTTACGTCCACTCTTATGTCGTGTCACAGTAAGAGTCGTTTGATAAAATAAAAAATTGAACTTGTTGTTTATTATTAAAATATTTGATACGTCTTGATTCTTCAATGTTCTTCCTAAGACTAAATTAAAAATTACTTATTCTACTTACAAAGTTAATTCTTATTAATACGTGGTGGGAGTTTTAGGAGCAAGGCACAGTTTTGTGACAACTCTCCGCTTCAGGTTACTGTTGAAAATATGAAGAAACGTTACAAACGATCACTGCCTTCCATTGTATCTGTCTATTCTGCATATTGGTCTTATAACTCATTGTCCTCAGTGGTACCCAAACTTAGTGATTGAACACAACACTTATTTTATATCAAATGACACAGTAAAACATAGTGTAGTATTTCCATCAAAATGTAATGACAATATTATGATAATTTTTAATAATTTTAGAGTGCTCCAATTGATTTTTTTTAATATAATAGTCAATTTTTCATCTCTGATAGGTAGTTAACATTTTGCATTTATTGGTAATACTTCTATTATTTCTAATCAGAAAGAATTATTTAAAAATATATGTAAATAATTAAATAATATACTAGTGTTTGATTATTATACTAAAGATCTAAACTTTATCTTTATTTGCAACATTTTGAAAATACTCTTTCGAATTGATTTTGTTTAATTAGATTAGTTACGTAATTTTATATTTGTATTGATTTTATTAATAAATACTCGGATTATCAGTTATTCAGGACCGTGTCAATCATTAGTTACACTAGCCATAATGCACTGGGAAAATTAAGATTTTTGAAGTACACAAGACTTATTGAGGCACACAAAATATAGATGAATTACAAATCAAGAACTTATATTTTATTGTTAAGTTATTAAGATATTGATACTACGATATTTCCGATATTTCCACCATTTCCAAATATATATTATGTTCTTAAGTTGCTTGCAAATTGTTACAAACAAAGTAGTAAAACAACTCTATATATATTAAGAAAACAAAAACATCTATAACTAAATGTATTCATATTATTCCGTACAAATTATTAAAAAAATATATTAAAATTTCATCTTAATACCCAAATATTTCTCAATGCCATAGGGCACGTTATAGAAACAATCCTTCCAATCGATGACCCTCAAATTAAACGGAACCAAGTCTTGATCATGTTGGCTGAGCGAATCCCAAATATTTTCCAAATTATTGTTGTCTACAATCAAAGGTTTTTCGGAAAAGTAGCTAACTGCATTTACGAATTGATTGATTTTCTCATATACTTGTAGATACCTATTTCAAATAATTATATTATTGATTAGAAACAAGAATAATCAAATACAAACTTTGTTTTTTGTAGCGTGAACAATCGGAAAATATCCATGAACAGAAATGGGATGTACATGAAAATGAAAATTTTGATCGCATTCCAATAATAGTTGTCAGTAATAACTGAAGAAAGTTTGTTTTTTGATGCATGCATCCAGACATCGTGGTAGGTAATAGGGTTGTTGTTGGAAGTATAGTTGTAGATTTTGGTGTCCTTCGATCTATAAATATTAAAATTATGGTTATCACATTATCAGAAAACAATAAATTATCTAATCAACTTGTTCTTGACGACATCGAAGGTACATGTAATTAGAGCGTTGGCTGTCATGTCGACAGGTACGGCGTGGGACATCGAAGTGGTTGCAATGTAATAACTTGGTAATGTCTTTGATGCCAACAACATGATGACACCTACTAAACCAGCTTTGCTTTTTACCCAGGATGGATACGGCTCGGAGAGACTGGAAGTTACTAATATTTTGCATTAAAAAATTTATGCATTTTCTTTCAGTTGACTCACTAATTCCAGGTCTGAAAATTCCGATGCTTATTTGATCTTTAAACTGGTCGCAATGGTACTCGGTCACATTTTTTGAAAACGTATACGAATTGGGCCAATCTTGCATTAACGTGTTTTCAATTTCATCCAGTTCTTCATTGGTTAAAGCGTTAGATACTTCCATCAACGTTTCCGGTTTTAATATTGGTTCGTATATCTTCTCCTCGATGTGAGAACAAGATCTCCTCGCGTAGGAAAAAGCAGATGAAACGTACATGAAACACTATTAAAAACAATTATACTGCTGTTATAATAAGTTGTTAATTATGTAACTTTTATTTTTGTGTTTTCTAAACAGATCTTCAACAGCTCTGCCGTTCCTAACAAATTATTCTTGATCATCTCGTGAAGCGGATTCTGCATCTTTATCGAAGCACCAATATGTATAACAATATCCACAGTTTTGATTACTTGTATGTCGTTGTTGGACAAGTTCAGACGAGGCATGGTTAAGTCTCCTTCGATCCAATGGACTCTTTCATAGTAATCGGGATTCATAGAAATCATTCGCTCAAAAATCTTTTTTAAATAAAAAATTGTTTATTTTTTTTATATATGCACTTACTGGATCTTCGAAGTATTCTTTGCTCCTCTCATTGAGATTCATCGTTCCCTTCTTCCTAGCCAATAGGTAGAGTTTCGATATATCGGGAAAACTTCGCAAAAGTTTTTCGACAAGCACCGAGCCCAAGAAACCGGTGCAACCGGTTACCATAATCAATTTATTCCTATAAAACTCTTCCATTATCGAAATTCCAACAAGTACTGAATTTCGTCGTCAGTTGTATCTGGATTTTATATGGATGCTAGACTTATAATTTATGCAATAGAAACAAAGTCCATGTTCACTTGGTAGTTTTCCAAATAATTCAACAGTGGTTTCGTTGCAGATTTTATATCTATAATAAATAATACCTAAACGATTTTTCATCCTTGCTCAAGCTATTCCATGCATGATTGTGGACAATTAATAACAGGTTAATTAAATATATAGTTGCAGTTATTGCTAAATTATATATAACTGAAAACAATATATAAATTATTGAATAATTAATTTTAAATCTAATAGAAATAACGGTTTGTAAATCATTGTGTAATATTTTCATGAAAATTTAATGAGTGTCCACGAACAATATTAAAGTTAAAATTCAAGAATACATATTTGATTGTTAATTTGCTAAGATATCTATACTGCACTCCATTGTTTACATTATAGCTTGTCTTTAGCTACTTGACACGCAAATGTTATTGTTAAATCAACGGGAACTAAATGCGAGTTTATATATATATATATATCTTTCCAATCGATGACCCTTAAATTAAACGGAATCAAATCATGTTGGCTGAGCGAATCTCAAATATTTTCCATGTTATCGTTGTTTACAAGTATAGGTTTGTTGCTAAAATAGTGGATTAATTGATTGATTTTCTTATGTAATCGTATATACCTATTTAAAATAACGATATTATTAATTTATATATTTTTTTATGACGTATAATTTTTATTCACAATCTGTTTATCAATTCAACTTTAAGATTGCGATTGACATTAAATGGATAATCCTTCCCGGTCGATAATTACCATTATGATGATTTGATTTTTTTTAAATTTGTTGCTTGGCTGTTGTCTTGTAGGTTAACTTCAGTAATATATCAATGCTCTGCGATTCCACTATTTCCTTTGACAGTAAATCTGCTTCTATACTTAACACTGTCATTGTCCATCTACTTGGCTGAAGGGCTTGTCATTTTTTTATTCCTATATTTCTTATAATTGATGGAATAGAAACAAAGTTAATGTTGACTTTATGGTTAACATAATCATTCCATTTTGTAGTAATTATTAGTTTTCTTGTAGCAATATTTATTTCTTAAATTCATTTCAACATTAGTTACAATTCAACCTTTCTCAAGCTGTTCCATGCACATTTATATGTTACAATTATCGACAATTGACTTCCGGTTATTTAAATTAACTAGTTACAATTATTGCTCAATTAAATATAAGTAAAAGCAATAAACAAATTAGTGAATAATGAACTAAACAATAATTACATCAATTTACGTCCACTCTTATTTAATATCAAATAACACAGTAAAACATAGTGTAGTATTTCCATCAAAATGTAATGACAATATTATGATAATTTTTAATAATTTTATTGTGCTCCAATTGATTTTTTTTTATATAAAAGTCAATAATTTTTTCATCTTTGATAAGTAGTTAACATTTTGCATTTGCATTTCTATTATTTCTAATCAGAAAGGATTATTTAAAAAAAATATATAAATAATTAAATAATATACTAATGTTGGATTGTTATACTAAATTTATAAACTTTAACTTTATTTGCAACATTTTGAAAATACTCTTTCCAATTGATTTTGTTTAATTAGATTAGATACGTAATTTTATATTTGTATTGATATTGTTAATAAATACTCGGAATTTCATCTAAAACCGTGTCAATCATCGTGCCTTGGGAAAATGAAGATTTTGGACGTACACAAGACTTATTGGGGCACACAAAATATAGTTGAATAATAAATAAAGAATCTATATTTTGTTAAGGTTGCTAGGGGGTCAGTATATATTAGATCCAGGAAGAACTTTATTAATTGTTTTTTTTATTAAATAATTTAATTTTGATTTAACTAGAGCGGTTTGATCCATTAAGCACACTAGCCAAACACAAAAATTATAATTAAAAATATAAAATTGAAGATTTTTTTATTTGATTTTCAGATTACAGATAAAATGGGACTTGAAATTGCGGACTTTATTATCAAGGAGAATATATATATATATATAAATTAAGAAAAAAATACATGCTAAATGTATACATGTTATATCGTACAAATTATAAAACAAAAATAAATATTAAATTTTTAATGAGCTTTAAAATTGCGGACTAAATTATAACTATACTATAACTAAATGTATCCATATTATTCCGTATAAATTATTTAAAAAATAAATATTAAAATTTCATCTTAATACCCAAATATTGCTCAATGCCATAAGGCAGGTTATAGAAATAATCCTTCCAATCAATGACCCTCAAATTAAACGGAACCAAGTCTTTATCATGTTGGCTGAGCGAATCCCAAATATTTTCCAAATTATCGTTGTCTACAATCAAAGGTTTGTTTGAAAAGTAGCTAATTGCGTTTACGAATTGATTGATTTTCTCATATATTCGTAGATACCTATTTAAAATAATTATATTATTGATTAGAATAAAGAATGATCTAATACAAACTTTGTTTTCTGTCGCGTGAAGAATCGGAAAATATCCATGAATAGAAATGGAATGTACATGAAAATAAAATTTTTGATCGCATTCCAATAATAGTTGTTAGTAATAAGGGAAGACTGTTCGTTTTTTGTTGTATGCGTGCATACTTCGCGGTAGGTAATAGGGTTGTTGTTGGAAGTATAGTTGTAGATTTTGGTGTCCTTTGATCTATAAATATTTAAATTAATGTTATTGAAGTAGCAGCAAACAATAAATTATCTAATCAACTTATTCTTGACGATATCGTAGGTGCATGCAATTAGAGCATTGGCTGTCATATCGACAGGTACGGCGTGCGTCATTGTCGTATTTTTTATGTAATAACTTGGCAATGTATTTGATCCTACCAGCATGATGGCACCTACTAAACCAGCTTTGCTTTTTACCCAGAATGGATACGGCTCGGAGAAACTGGAAGTTACTTGAATTTTGCTTTGAAAACCATAATGTTCTTCTTTGTATTGACTCACTATTTCCAGGTCTGAAGATACCTATACTCATTTGGTCTTTAAACGCGTCGCAATGACATTCGGTCACATTTTTTGAAAACGTATACGAATTGGGCCAATCTTGCATTAACGTGTTTTCAATTTCATTCAATTCGTCATTGGTCAAAGCGTTATATATATCCAGCAACGTTTCTGGTTTTACTACTGATTCGTATATCTTCTCTTCGATGCGAAAACATGATTTCCTCGCGTTAGAGAAAGCAGATGAAACGTACATGAAACACTATTAAAAGCAATTATATTATTTTCAAAATAAATTGTTAATTATGTAACCTTTATGTTTTTGTTATCTAAGCAGATCTTGAGCAGCTCCGCCGTTCCTAACAAATTATTCTTGATCATCTCGTGAAGTGGATTCTGCATATTTATCGAAGCCCCAAGATGTATAACAATATCCACGGTTTTGATCACAGCCATATCGTCATTGGACAAGTTCAGACAAGGCTTTGTCAAATCTCCTTCGATCCAAATAACTTTCTTGTAGTAATTAGGATTCAGGTAAATCATTCGCTCAAACAGCTTCATTAAATAAATAAGAAAAATTTAATTTTTTTTATATATTCACTCACAGGATCTTTGAAGTATTTTTTGCTCCTCTCAGTAAGATTCATTGTTCCCTTCTTCCTAGCCAACAAGTAGAGCTTCGATATGTCAGGAAAACTTCTTAGAAGCTTCTCGACAAGTATCGATCCTAAGAAACCGGTACCACCTGTCACCAAAATCTTTTTATTCTTATAAAACTCTTCCATATTTGAAATATTAATAATAACTGAATTCTGTCATCTCTTGTCTTTGTAATTTATAGTACAAATAATTGATGTAAGTGAATCAAAGTCTATGCTGAGTTGATAATTAAAATAATCATTCAATTTCATAGTAATTATTTCTTATTTTGTTGCTTTTTATATATATATTTTTATATTAAACATATTAAAACTGTTTTTCATACTTGTGCTACGATTGTCGACAAAAAACTTCTGGATCATTAAATAATTAGTTGCAATCATTGTTAAATTAAAGATATCTAAAAATAATATAGAAATGAGTTTTCCTGCAACGGAACACTCTGTAAATGATAAAATTTTTACGAAACACCATGTCTATTTTATGGGGTTCGCCACCCCCTTTTGCACTAAAACAAAATTCAAGAAAAATGGGTATGTGTGTAAAAACGTAGAAAAATATATCGTCCCTGGGGGTCGCGTCTTACACTTTGAGAATATCTGGGGTAGATAATAACACATAATCAATAAAATTTAAAAAAATGTAAAAAAAAATATTCATTATTTATTTAGTAATTATTTCATTCCAGTTTGGAAAACCCTGAACTTAACAATTAACATAGTATATAAAAACTATGGATATAATTAAATAATATACTATTGTTGTTATATTATACTAAATTTCTAAACTTTAACTTTATTTGCATTTTGAAAATACTCTTTCCAATTGATTTTGTTTACATCAAAGTAAAGCAAGTCTCTTTCATCTTTACTCAATTTGTTCCACAATTTTTCCATGTTGCTATTGTCTACAATCAATTTTGCGTTAATGAAATAATGTAGTGCTTCGTTGAATTTGTTGCAATTACTGCTTAAAGAGATATATCTGAAAAACAAATGTAATAAAAGTTATGTAAATAAATAACAAACTAAAAAAAAATACCTCGGTTTATGACCATTCGCAATTAACATCAAATCAGAAAGCAATGCACGACTACAAGTTATCGAATAGTGTTTCAATTTATGAAGATAATAATTCTCTGTTAATATTTTCTCGGATGATTCACCAAGTGCGTATGAAACAGCTTCGTAAATGGAAACTGGATTATCATTAGACGTGTAATTGTAGACTTGAGCTACTTTTTTCCTAAAAAATACATAAATTTAGTAATTTGCATATTTTAAGCTCATTTTCAATTGGTTCCAGTTTAGAAACATGTATTTTTTAAATTAAATTCTCTGAAATTCAAGTACAAAAATATTTTGTCGTTTACTTCCTATATGTACTTAATGTACTTAAGTAGATTTTATCCGATGGACAATGAACTTAATTACAAGTATTAATAAATATTACTTGTCTTGGGCTACTTGACATGCAGAAGCCAATAAAGCGTTAGTTGTCAAATCAACGGGAATTGAATGAGAGTTGACGTCTTTCTTCAAATAAAAACTGGACACTAAGTTTGTGGATAAAAGATTGATAGCTCCGAGGATCCCCGAATTGCTATTCGACCAATAGGGAAAAGGCTCTAAATAACTGGACGTAACTAAAAAGGTAAAACATTTTATAATATAACTAAAAAATTTCAAATTGTAAATTTACTATTTCCTGGTCTAAATATACCAACTGGAAAACAATTAGCGTAATCATTGCTTGCATACTCGATGATGGATTTGGTGAAGGTGTACGCATTTGGCCAATCGTACATGAAATGCTTTTCCAGACTATCTAAAACTTCCGCTGGGAATGAGTCAACCAATTCGATTAAGCTTTCGGGTCGGTAATTCGGAATGTACACTTTTTCTTCAATGTGATTGCAACATTTTGTGCATTGAGAATACGCTGAAGACACCATCATGAAACACTACAATTATTATATTTTTATATTTTGTAATAAATTTATAATATAGGGAAAACCTTGCAGTTATGTGAATTCTTTAAAATCTCTAGTAAATCCATCGTTCCAAATAAATTTGTCTGCAACACTTTGCGCATTGGATCCTTGAAATTTAAGGAACTTCCCATGTGAAGGACAATTTCAGCATCCTCCACGGCTTTAAGATCTTCAGAGCTTAGATTCAAACCTTTCTGCGATAAATCCCCATTGAGCCATTCCACATTCTTATGGTAATCTGGATTCTCTTTGATCATCCTTTGAAAAAACTACTTTGAAAATGCATTGAATTTATTTTAGTTATTTTGTTTTTGATGTCCTTACCGGATTTTCGAAGTATTTTGAGCATCTCTCCTGGAACGATTCATCTCTTTTCGAGCGATTTAATAAATATAATTTTTCGATGTTCGGAAAGCTACGAAGAATTTTTTCTACAACCGAAGATCCCATAAAACCAGAACATCCCGTAACCAGAATCTTCTTGTTAGCGTAAAACTTAGCAACGTTCATCATAACGATTTTGAAAGATGTGTTAAGTAAAACGTTTTATAACATAATTTATAATTATTCAAACATAATTACCAATTAAAATAATTACATAATATTATAAAAATATACAATAAAATTATAAACATATAATATCTTTCGATGACAATTATTTATAATTACGCATTTAAATACTAATATTATTAACTCTGTATTACGTTCTTACATTTCGGTATATTATAACATACTTGCAAACAAATAAAAAAAAATGATCAATAACTTTTGGGTGGAGTTGGGTAAACCTTTTTTAATTGAAATAGGGGTTCTCCAATTACGGTGAATTGCGTGATCTATTTTGGAATTAGAGGCTTTCGAAGAATGTGGGGTTCGCAGATAGGGATGTAATTTAGTCCTTAATGACGTAACAACGAGATGAATTAAAGGATGCGACCGGAGGGAGGGATCTGAGGGTCTGAATTACGGAATGGACGAGGGTGGAGAAAAAATGTATTCTCTCGGAAATTGCCCGCAGTTCTTTGCTTTAAACCATCCTCAACCGAAGATTTCTTACAAGTACCTTTGTTCAGTGTATAAAATACACGTTTATTGAAGATCGCACGTACATTGTGGAAAATAAAAGCATGAAATAATTGTATTAAATTCAATTTATTTGACGATATTTACAATATTTAACATACATACATTTATAATAGCAATACTTCGTTTAGTGCGTCATTGATCAGGACAGATTCTTATAGTGCGGTTTAAAAATATAACAATTAAATTTTAATTGTACAATTAATTAAAAGTACTAAATAATTTGTTTTTTTTCTCTCTAGTTTTTGATTAGTCTGGTCTCAAACAGTGCGGAATATTGGCTGAACTAATTACCCGCATTACGCGAGTAATATTATTGATTTTATATTAAATTGTGAATACGGTTATGTAAGTGAAAAATGTAACACGCGCATTTTCCTGTGTATAAATAAATCAACGTACACGTGCACTGTGTTGAAAACAACATTAATTGTTAATGGCAATTAAGCCATACATACGACATAATTACCATAACTTCTCACGCCTGTTCACGTCACTGCTGCTGGGCGAGAACTGCTTTGCAAGTACTTCAGCCACTTCCACTGGATAACTATAGGAGTCGCAGCTGACCGTGACTTCCCCGAGATAGCTCCGCCATACCTCAGACAGCGAAGTCTTGGGGGTCATGGTAGACACATAATAAGTATGATTTTAAAACGATTTTTCTTAATAATTTGAAAATTAATGAACTTTTTTCATTTATTACACAATCAGGTGCGAAGCAGCTTTATGCAACACACTTTGCGATCCGAAAAAAAAAACTGAAATTCTTCCAGTTTTGTTTTTTTTTTGTAATTTTTTAGAAAGTTATGTAACTTGTTTGAATTTTAATTGTTGCTATTAAATTATAAGAAAAATTACTCGCAAAATGGAACTCATTGTCGTATATTATAATAGTATTAGGAAAATTGTAAAAATCCGAAAATTTTGCTAAATTCGCAGTATGATAGTATAAATCGATTTTCCTTAATAACTCGAAAAATACTGAAGTTTTTCATTTATTGCAAAATCAGGTGCGAGGAAGATTTCAGTTTCTTTCAGTTTTTTTTTTTAATTTCTCGAAAGTTACGTAACTTTTTTCGATTTTAATTGTTGAATAAGAGAGGCGCCACCATTAAATAATTTATTATGTAAAAAAAGTTGCATAATGTTCATTACGTGTTCGATAAATAACGATTTTGCATGTCCTCAGTTTGTCGTGAATTGCTCGACACCGGCGTGAGACTATCCTGCTGAAATTAAAGCTGAAAGTCTCACCTTTCCAACGGACACACGTCAATACTATCATCCAATCGTTTGCTATAAGCTGTTAAAAGTGTCACTGTTGAAAATGTACCGTCTTCGCTTTTTATTTAATTTTATGATTACAGAACTCAACAAGAATCGTAATCAGTACATTTCGGATGAGTTTACTGAAATTAAAACTGAAAGTCTCACCTTTCCAACGGGAACACATCAGCTGTTAATAGTGTCGAAGTTGATAATGTACTATCTTCACGTTTTCTTTAATTTTATGATTACAGAACTCAACAAGAATCGTAATCAGTACATTTCGGATGAGTTTACTGAAATTAAAGCTGAAAGTCTCACCTTTCCAACGGGAACACTTCAGTTTTTTTTTGCTATCATTCGATCGTTTGCTATGAGCTGTTAATAGTGTCGATGTTGAAAATGTACCGTCTTCAAGTTTTCTTTAATTTCATAATTACAGAACTCAACAAGAATCGTAATCAGTACATTTTGGATGAGCCTACTGAAATTAAAGCTGAAAGTCTCACCTTTCCAACAGGAACACATCAGCTGTTAATAGTGTCGAAGTTGAAAATGTACCATCTTCACGTTTTCTTTAATTTCATGATTACAGAACTCAACAAGAATCGTAATCAGTACATTTCGGATGAGCTTACTGAAATTAAAGCTGAAAGTCTCACCTTTCCAACAGGAACACATCAGTTTTTTTTTGCTATCATCCGATCGTTTGCTATGAGCTGTTAATAGTGTCGATGTTGAAAATGGTAACATACTGAAATTCTTGCATCGATATTTTGTATATTATGTTCAGTTTTTAGTTAATAAATATTGTTTATTGTTATCAGTAACATATATATTTATAATACATTAGAAATATTTAATACAAAAATTTCTTAAAAAAATATAATAACTACTATTAAATTTATTTTTTATTTTTATCACTGGTTTTTAGAAATTTGGGTTTATGTAAATGAAAATGGCATTAAATTTGGTACATTTTTACACTCATCGAACGAAAAGTAAATTTAAGTATTTTGTGATGATACCGACTACATGACACATCGAACAAATCGGAAGCCAATGATTGGATGCGGGCTGTGTGTATCCTTTATCTCGCTTGTAACGAGGATCACCGAAGAAGCGGCAATAATCGTCCTAGCTCAGGATAACAAGCTGATAAATCGAGCGTTTCTGAACCCTCCGGTTTCCTTTATTTGAATACCGAACGTTATCACTTCCTTAAATTGGACCGTATTCCTTCCCAGTAACCGCATAATTATTTATAAAATAACGAGAATTCTCAACCGAAAACAAAAAAATAACTGGATTCGATCGTCGAAAGAAACACATTTTTTTTGAATTTACGAAATGCTCATGAAATTTTACAATTTACAAAAAAATGAAGTAATAATTATTACTTCATTTTTTTTAATCAATGACTTTGATAAAGTTATCGTTGTAGATATACTTCTGGAATTCCTGTTTATCATACAAATCGTACAATTTATTATCGTTTTTGTTTGGTTTCTTCTTCATAAAACCGTAAGTAAATAACGTAACACCGATTACTGTTAGAAGGCAAGAAATCAAGGTCGATATATTTGGCGATACTTGGATTATATACATCTGCGACGCAACGCTGTCCGTCATCAAAACCGTTTCATTGATGTGGAGCACAGGTATAAAATATTTTGGCACATTCGAATACATACTGAAATAAATAAATTAATAAAAACAATATTTTTTTATTCAAAATCTTACCCAAATCCGCTGATGGGTTGTATTAATACGTTTACTTGTATTCTAAGCCCGATAGCTGTTACCACTCCGGAGTCCTTGAGAAGTATTAAATTTAGTAAATTTAAAATGTTATTAAGAGAAAATAAAGCTACCTTTTGATAAGCCGTGAAAACATTGTGTTTATCCGGATCCGGTTTCATTCCTTCCACTGCGTTTCTGTAAGAAGGGTCGGCATGGAAGAAGTGAGGAAGAGAAAGGAAAATCGGTGCGTTTTCGTTGCAAGAGGAAACGTTTAAAAGGCCGCTCGGAACGCATTGACCGTTGCAAAAGCATTCGTTTTCAGGATATACGGTTCCTAAGATATATAATAAAAAAAAAGAAGTTAATGGTTGAAACTATGAATCAAAGAAAATTTACCATTATCGAACAACGTTTTAGGCGCTTCGTAGTAATCGGAAACAACACCTTTGTACACCCTTTGTTCTTTATACTTTAAGTACGTGTAGGTGCAAATTTCCGGCACGAAAACTTTGAGTATTTTCGAACTGTTTCGGTTTGTTTCCACGAATTCCCCAATTCTGCCATCCGTCGTCCCACATTTTCCGTCAAAGAAACCGGGATTTTTCTTATTCCTGTACGTGGAGAGCCGCGCGAAATTTTCGTCTTGGGTTTTATGCATCGTCACAGGACCGTACATATATTCCGTGTAGTTTTTCTGCAAAAAAAAACAACAAATAATATTTATAAATCCGCAAAGGTTTAGTCTGAAAAAGTCTAAAGACTAATCACAGTGGACTTGCATAAGCGTAGTAGCTCGTTTAAAGAATAGGGCGGATATATTCGCCTGTACACAAATTAATATAGTTTGAATTATACCATACCTTATAGAAGTACCCAAATTTATCCATGATCTTAACGAATGGTATTTTATTGGCTGCATCAAGCGTGGGCTCTTCGAAACCTCTGAACAAAAACTCATCCGCCGTCTTCGTAACGAACATTTCAGACTTAGTCGATCTCAGTGTTAATGAAATGGCTAATTTGGTGAAGTAGTTGCTGTTCCTGAATTGGTAAGCTAAGGACTGTAGAAAAACATTTCGAAATTAATGAACGATTTGAATTTGCTGCCATTTGTGCAGTAAAGTGTTGGTAACCCCAAAAAATAAACAATTTGACAGCTGAGAGGTTAGGGTTAGTAAAAATGGAGCGTTGGATGGATTATTGACCATCAACAAATGGATGCTGATTTTTCGAGCAAAATCATCCTAAGCGATGAAGAGCACATTTTCACCTTGATGGCTTCGTTAAACGCCAAAATTGCCGCATTTGGGGTACGAAGAACTAACATGTGACTGTCGAAAAACAAATGCATTCACAGCGTGTCACTGTTTGGTGCGGATTTTGGGCTGGATGCATCATTGGACCATACTTTTTTTTAAAATGAGTCTGGTCAAGCAGTGACTGTTACTGACATGATTGCGACATAATAACACACTTTTTTCTGCCCCATTTGGATAATATTGATATAGACGACATGTGGTTTCAATAAAATGGTGCCACGTGCCAAACAACTCGTGAAAAAAATCAATTACTGCATGAGACATTTCCTAGCCGTCTACTCTCGTTTCGGTGATCAGAATTGGCTCCCTAGATCTTATAATTTAACACCACTAGATTTCTTTTTATGGGGTTATTTGAAGTCAAAGGTATATGTCAACAAGCCCACAACCGCCCGTGCATTACAGAAAGAAATTAAACGCTGCATCAATGATATTCAGCCACATTTATGCAAAATGGTCATGGAAAATTTCGATAAAAGAGTGCGTATGTGCCTGTGAAGGCCATTTGCTCGATGTATTTTTCCATGAATAACCCTAACCTATGTATTTTATGTTTCAATAAAAAATCACAACTTGAAATCTATCTTTAATTTTGGGACACCCTTTATAATCATTAAAATAATAACAAAAAAAAAATCTTACCAAAGGCACTGGGTTAATACTAGTAATCAGATCTGTTAAATCCCTCGAATCTTCGTGCTTTACAAAAACGAACTTCTTAGCAATGCTGTAATTAAACGTATCTCCTTCGCTCCAAGTCTCGTTCATTTTCTCTATGTTTAACAAAAAACGGTAAGGGCCGATCTCCTCGAACTTTGGTTTAACATCTGGATTATAAAAATCTTCAGTGTTTGTCCAATTGAATAAGTATATATCGAAGTAATACGGCTCAGGATTGCATTTCCATTCATTGTAAGCCTTCCAACCCGGCTTAAAGGTCGTTGCAATCCGAATTAGACTTTGCAGGATCCAAGGAAAGGTTACGTAAAGCGTCACTCCGAGAATCGCCAATGCAATTCCAATTATCAAAAATAATTTGTTGCATATTATTGTAGAAACATTTAAAAAAAATGCTAAAAAAAATAATAAATATTATATTCAAATAAGGTATCTTTCTATTTGTTTTTTTTTTTGCAATACCCAATTTTAAATTCGAAGATAAAACAATGTTATTTTTCTGCATAAATAAACATAATTTAGCTGTTAATGCATATTCAAGATTAAAAAGTTATTGAACCTTTAATACTATAACCCTGAAATCGTGCTGTTTATAACTATAATCTCTATATTCTAAATATAACTTTATCGCAGTTTACACGAGTCTTATAGAAAGAAAAAATAAAGATGAAAACCATATTTTTAATTTTGACTTTGTAAGATTTGCAATGTCGAAAAATTTAATTTAAAGACCTTGGACATTTACAAAAAAAAAATAAAGCAATGATTGGTAAGAATTGTAAATAGAAATAAATGAGTGTTTAAATTTTGTAGTCCATAATTGCATTACAACTTTTTGCAACAAGTTTAAAATAAAAAAAAAATTAAATTTAAATATTTTTTTATTAGAAAAATTAAAGAATTGTAAAAAATAATAAATATTTATTAAGTTTGATTAAATTTGATTTTTTTTTGCAAATTAATTTATAATTTTTATTTGTTAAAAATTTCGTCAGTAAAATATAAATAATTTAAGCAAATTGAAGCGAAAATAAATTTGAGTTTTCCAAGAAGAAAACTGTTAATTGTATTTTGTTTATTTCCATTAATTATAGTAATTTATAACTGTATTTTTGATTACAAACTAAATTGTAATTTGTGTGTCAAAAAAAAAACTATGTAAAAATACAATATAAAAAAATATTTCAACATTCAAAATAATTTTTGAATGTTGATAATTTATTGTTTAATTAATAAATTATTTTTTGTTAATTAATTATATGAAAAAAAAATAATATTTATAACAAAAAATAATTCGTTAATTAAACAATAAATTGTCAATATTTCGGTTTTGACAAATTGTTTTTTTTTATTATTTTGCATTTTTTTCAGTTTAAATTTAAAAAAAATGTAAATATTTACTTATTAAAAATATTGGGTAATATTAGAGAAAGTGTGTTGTTGATAAAAAATCGTCAGTAAAATATAAATAATTTTAGCAAATTGAAGCGTAAATAAATTTGAGTTTTCCAAGAAGAAAACTGTTAATTGTATTTTGCTTACTTCTATTAATTATAGTAATTTATAACTGTATTATACTGTATAACTGTGTGTCAAAAAAAACTATGTAAAAATACAATATAAAAAATATTTCAACATTCAAAATAATTTTTATTTCAATTATATGAAAACATTTTTTTGTGTACTTACTCTTATTATTTTTGGCCATTTTAGTAATGTTTAATCATACGCACAAAACACAAACCAATACTGCCGATTCCTATTTGACATATCTATATAAATACGTTCAGTGATATCTGTGATGTGAGTGGGGCTGAGGTCTCTTGTTCAAATTTATTGAATATAAACATTCATACTGAGAGGAGGAAGGGAGAAGAGAAATCAGTCAATTACATTTAACAAAATAACAAACATGTATTTTTTTATCTCTAGGGTAGTCAAAGATCAGATTTTTGTTATGTATTTAATATTAGATATCGTCTAATAAGTTACATTTGCTTAGTAGATTTTTTTACGAGAATAAAGTCTGTTAGTACAAAAAAATAATGGAAATAAAAGTTATTACACATTGGAAATACACATTTATTTCATAAAATAATGATAACATTTAAAAAAACAGTAAATTTTATTCGCTATTTAAATTGGAATATTTAGAAGTTCTACTTCATTTTTTCATTGCAACAAATCATCACACTACAAAGTCAACATAATAATAAAATAAGAAAATAAAAACAATTTGATCTGCTGCAAAGGCCTACCGACCATAGATCTTTCTGTTCGTAAATGTATTAATTACATGAGTTTAAATCTGAGATCAGCTATATGTACACATATTCCAACTTATATAGGTAAACGTTAAAAATAATAAATAAATATGAAAAATTTTGATATTTGCATGAATTGAAAAAGATGCATTTAATAAATCGAATCAATATTTGTAATATGCGCAATTAAACGCAATTAAAACACCATTATTTTTACACGAATCATTACTTTTAAACTGCTGATATTTCAAGAATTATCTGCAATAACATCAACCAAAAACGATCATGGTCCAAGTGTTATCAACTGAATTGCATAAAAAATCATGTAAGATTACAATGATTTTGTGTATTTTGAGCTGCATTCATTGAAGGAACCAAACTATCAATTCAGATGTTTACTGTCAACAACTAAAAAACTGGAGGAATCAATTAAATTAAAAATAGCTAGAATCGTGTGTTACCAAAACATTGCAAATCCTAACACATCTTTGGTAACTTGTGAAAAATTATTGCAGCTTGGTTAGAAAATGATATCACATCTCCCATATAGTCCTAGGGGCACTAATAGTCGAATAGTTAAGCAGCTCTATCCACGAGCTAGTGGCCGCAGGTTCAAATCCTGGTCAAGCGAGGCACTATGTGCCTTTGTGAGTCCCCTCGGTGCTTGCAGCAATAGGGACATCGTTCATCACAGATGGACAGTCAAATTAATGAGGTTCAGATTGGACCTTCAGTCAAGTCGATGGACAATGACAGTGTTAAGGATAGTTGCAGATTCACAGTCAAAGGAAATAGTGGAATCGGAGCGCATCAATATACTACTGAAGTTAACCCACAAGACGACAGACAACCAGGAAAGATTACCTACCTAATGTCAACCGCGATCTTAAATTTACTCACAGATTGTGAATAAAATTACACGACATAAAAAAAGATATAGTCCTAATCTTGAACCATCAGATTACTACTTATTTCGAAGTTTGCAAAACTCTTTGAATGGTAAAACTTTCACTAATTATGATGTCCTGAAATCGCACTTTTTTCAGTTTTATGCTGTAAACACGGAATCATTAAGGTGCAAGAAAGATGACAAAAAGTTATTGGACACAATGGAAAATATATAATTGATTAATGTTATAATTTATATTATATTGTTTATTTATATTTAGAGTTGTTTTCTTTTCAATTTATATTATTTTCTTCATTGGTTTTAGATGATTTTTAGAATAAAATTAGTCTGGCCATTAAAAGTTAATTTTTATGGTTTTATAATCATATTTTTTCCAAGATGAAATTAAATCATTTTACGCGTACACGTTTTATTACTTTTTTTTGCAAATGCGAGCAAATTGAAACTGAATAATAAAAAATATTTAATAGTTTTCCTGTTATCATGCTCATACATTTTAATTTTTATAATTATGATGGCACGCATAACATTTTTTTTCTTTATGTCGTGTAATTTTACTCACAATCTGTTCATCAATGTGAACATTGAGTAAATTTAAAATCGCGGTTGACATTAGATAGGTAATCATTCCCGGTGGATAGTTACCATTCTGATGATATTTTATTGTTTTTCTTTTAAATTTGTTGGTTAGCTGTTGTCTTGTACTACTTAAGTAGTATATTGATGCTCTGCTATTCCACTATTGTCCATCAACTTGGATGAAGGTCCATATGCTGAACCTCATTCATTTCACTGTCCATCTGTGTTGAACGATGGCCCTATTGCTGCATGCACTGAGAGGGCTCACAAATGGCCTGGCTTGACCAGGATTTGAACCAGCGCTCACTAGCTCGTGGATACGGCGACTTAAGCATTCGGTTATTAGTCGCCCGCATAACATTTATAATAATTCATTACATTAATTTTTCACGTATTCAATTAGAATTATTATCAAAGTCATAGGAATGAGTTAATAACATTTATTTATAAAATATATATATATATATACTATACAACAATTTTCAAAAAAAAATTGTTACTTAAGTAACGTAAAATTATAATTAGAAATAGTTTTCACGTGGTTTCCGTTTTCAGTTTCAACGGGATTTCATCTGCTATAGATTGCGGAGGAATCTTGTATTCGTTACGGTTCAGCTTCTGAGATTTCGTGGAATTTACCCAGCAGCAGAGTGTGGACATCATGAAGACTACTCCGATAATGATGAGGATGTACGCTGCTGTTTCTCTTATATCAGGTAAATTCTGAAGTAATTGCATCTTCACGGCGAGATCATCTGTCACGGTGACAACTTGATCGAAAAAGAATACAGGTACGTATATCTTTGGGACTTTTTCAAATAAGCTGTGGAAAAAAAGAATTAATTAGAAGTTTAGTTTAATTTCATAAATTTAATCACCTGAATCCTTTGATCGGTTGTAACAAAACGTTGAGTTGCATTCTAGCGCCAATATCGACGACAATTGCTGATTTCTAAAAAAAAAATGTATGTGATTATAATTAACTTTGATCATAAGTATAATTGATGCTTTACTGGTTCTAGAGTGATGTAAAAATCATGTTCCTCCTTGTTGGGATTTAGTCCTTCGATTGATTCAATATAGTAAGGATCTGCGTTGTAGAAATGTGGTAAAGAGATGAAAATGGGGGCATCCATTCTGCATGAAGAGATGTTGAGGACACCGCTCGGAATGCATTCTCCGTTGCAGAAACAAGCGTTTTCAGGAACTTTGGTGCCTGAAATTAAAGAAAAGATAAATAATATTTCAGATTTCATCGATCAAAGTTATGTAAATGTTACCGTTGTCGAAGAGAGTATCCGACGAATATTTGTACGCCTTTATACCCTTCACGGTGACGTCTTTCTCGTATTGGAGATGAGCGTAGCTGCACATCTCCGAGGAATAGATTTCGATGAAATCCCTTTCCCTATTGATGGGATGGAATTCGCCGGCGGAGCCGCGGATCTCGCCGCAAGTTCCCTCATAGAAATCCGTGCGATTCCTGTAATCCCACGACAGCAGTTTGCCGAAGTTCTCGTCGTGCCCCGTGTACATGCTGAAATCTCCGCTTAAGCCGTAAGTGTTGTTCCTCTGGAATCAAACGTATTTCTTATAATCGTTGCTTACTTTTGTTAGGATAAGGTTTACTTGATAAAACCATCCGAACTTATCGCTGACGTTGGCGCCTTCTGGTAACAAAATCGACAAGGAACGCACCATGTCGAGCAGAGGATCTTCGTAACCGGTGAAGAGAAGTTCATCTATTGTCTTAGTTACGTACACTTTAGATGTTGACGACATTCCGAAAGACAGCATCAACTTCTTCAGGGGATGGAAAAAACGTGATTTGTACGCAGCTGACTAAACATATATTATCATTATCTGTAAGATAAAAATGTTGCTGTTATCGGAACTGACCGTAGCTATAGGATTTATGGTGTTGATAACGTCTGTGAGGGGTTTCGGACTTTCATCTTCCATGAAATGGTACCTCTTCACGAATTGGAACGAAACTGTGTCGTTTTCGTGGAAGGTGATGTTGCATTTCTCTTTGATCTCCAGGAATCTGTAAGGTCCGACCTGCTCGAAGTGAGGTTTCACCGTTGGATCGTACACCTGATCGGCGTTCGTCCAATTGAAGAAGTACATATCGAGGATGAGTGGAGGATCGTTCGTGCTCCAAGCTTTGTAGGCTTCGGTTTCGGGCCGCAGATCCAGAGCGCTGTGTATTATGAAATCGTAGATGGACGGGAAGTAAAGCAACAGCGTCAACCCTAACATCGATAATACTACTCCAAAAAGCAAGAAAAATCCATTGCAGTATTTTCCTATTATACTGACGCGTTTCATTTTCTTTTTTTTTTTTTATTAAATTCACATTTATCTGAAACACACAGAAAATCCATTTAAAATACAAATTTCGTGAAACTCGAATAACATGATTTTTAATAGAATTGCACGTTTATTTTATATATAATAAACATATGATATAACACGATGTTAGAGTTACACAGAGTTTCGAATATCACTATCAAAAATTGTTTAACACGATTCTTCAGTTTCTTTAAACTATTTTTTTTTTAAATTCCTAATATCATTACTTTTCAAACCTAATAAGTCCAATGAAAATACTATATAGAATCAACAAAAATATTCGAATAACACTATACTTAAGTTACACGTACTCTCCAATAATAATTAAAATTTAACCCTGTATTTAAATTAGTATTTTTTTCACAATTGTTAATTGAACTTTTTAACACAGAAAATCTAATAAAAATACATGCTGAAATGCAAAGAAAACTTTTTTATTGAACTTTTTTTATATATGTCTCAAGTAAATAGATATTTCAAGAAAATAGACAAAACAATCTCAAATAACAAGATACTTAGGTAACACGTAGTCTAGTAAAACAAACTCGAAAATTGTATAAACTCATATAACAAGGTGCTTGAGTTATATTTTTACAAATCATTCACTTTTTCACTGTTTTAGGTATACTTTTGCACAATTATTAATAGCATTACTCTACAATATATAAACTTGAATATCACGCTACTTTAGTTACACGGAATAACACGATCACAATTTATACAACACGGTACTTAATTACTTTAAATTATAACCCTTTTATATGGCTTCAATCAACTTTTGTAAAGAACGTTGTAATGGTTGTACTAAATGTTTTATTAAAAGCTTTGTCTTTTTATCTACAGCTTCATCTATGAAGAACGTCAATAAACTTATTTTCCTAGGCGAATAGCATTTGCTAGAACAGTTGATAGGAAAATAGTATTTTCAGGAAACGTTGTTACGAAAATTTAGAACTTTCTTTTAATATAATTAAGTGCCTACTTTTTACCGAAAACTAACTCTTATACCTTTTTTTGTTAATCCTGAACATTGTAAACCGATAATAAAAACTATTAATTTTAACCCCAAATACACAATATATGTTCACTTCAAAATACAAATAGATTCTCTTAAACCGAATTCACGCAAATTCTACCTTCTTGGTTAAATACTAATAACCTAGTCAACTTAAAATTAAATAATACTTAAAGCTATTTCCCTTAGACATACATTATTTTCTTATTAAAAAGCTATTTTCTGTACGATCGATACATCAAATTTTTCTGAAAGAATCAGAATTAATATAATATAATACAGTATAAATTAATATATAAAATAATAACATAAATCAAATTCAACTCGGTTATATAATTAAAATTTATTTCATATTTGTATAATAAATTAAATTATGTTATGCAAATCGATTGCATGAAGGTCATCTATGAAAATCATGTGTAGTTTCGTATTAAATGTAGTCACTATTAAATAATAATAAATGCACATTCTCACTCCACTTTAATATTTTATTTCTTTATTGTTACAGAGTAATTTCTTTCTTGGAATGTCTTTTTGTTTGTATTACATACTACTTATCAGTGGCAAAACTTCAAGGTTTGTCATCCCTGCTAAATATTGACAAATTTGATGGCAACGGGTAAATTTTTCTTTAAGGCCCGCTTTGATTGGAAATAGAGAAAATCTTAGAGTCATAAAGAACAGTTACAAAAATGTCATGGGGGTGAGTTAGTGTGTCGAGGAACACATTGAAAAAGTCGTGGGCCCCTTACTATTCGATTTATAATCGAATTTTCCGACTTAAAAAAGTCGAATCCTTATAGAAATTGTTAATTATTTAACAATATTGATATATTTAATTACGACTTAACAAAGATCGAAATTGTGTAAAAAGTGAATTCTTAGGGTTAATGCAATTAGCAAATAAAATTATATTGGAATTGGAATTTTCGATGTAGAATATTCTTTTGAAGTAATAGGTAAAAAAAGTTTCTTGAAGTTTTAATGAGGGGTCAAGGAATTAGGGTGGATTGAAGTGAATTCTTGAAGTTAAATAAAATTCTAAGTATCTATGGAAATCTCTGTCATATTTGGTAATTTACGCTAGAATTGAGTTTGAATAAAAGGTTGCCAAATCTAGGTAGATTACTCCAATTCACTATGTTAACCCACATAGTGAATTCTTGGGGTTAATTAAAATTCTATGTAGCTATATTTGGTAATTTTCGCCAAAATTGAATATTTTTTGAGTAATAGGTACAAAAATTCAATAATTTTTAATAACAAATCAATATTTATTAAATATATTAAAAATGTAATTTTACTTTTCACCAAATTTAATAGTTTATTAAAATTATGAATACTACAAAGTATATATTTTAATTGCAACTAGTCATAGCTATCAACAAAAAAAATAAACGTGGTGTGTGTTAGAGTGTGGGTTGTCCGAGGGCCACATTAAAATAAGTCGTGGGCCCTTTACTATTTGAGGGCCCTATACAAATTTATATTTGGTCCCACTACAGCTCATTGTAGATTATTGTTTTTTTGTTTGTTTCATTTCTTAGTGAAACATTTTATTTTTTCATTTGTATGTTCATCTTCTTTTAAAAACTATATATGTATATCTTGTCTGATATGTTGTAACTATATACTCCACGCGCCGGTGGCAATCGAAATCCCAACAACAATAATCACGACAGTATCAAAATCCCGACACACATAATCCCGACAGTTAGAAAATCCCGACAGTATCTTTTATTATTTGATGTAGACTTATTCATAATAAACCTTAATACTGTCGGGATTTCGATATATCTATTTCATTTTATTAATTTATAATCGAATTTGCCTACAATTACAAGGAAATGCAGGTAAGTAAATGCAGGTCTGCAGGTCAAACAGTTTGATTACAGTTGTTATCGCACACTCGAATCCATAAGTAACGTTGATAAGAAATTGCCAGTTTTATTTAGTTAATATTATTATTTACCTCGACAATTAGAATATTTGCATACGTTTTTAATTGACATAATTGGAAATATAAAGATGTTGATTTTGTATTTTAAAATATATAAAACCGTACTTTTAATTATTATAATTTATTGAATGAACGCATTTGATGTTGTTTAAATTTGCGAACACCAATAAAAGAGCCACGAGTCTAGGATTTGTGAATGCAACGAAGGAAGTGTGCAATTTATTTGCGTTCGGTTGAAAGTTTCCAGATTAATTCCATTGTGCGCATATAAAAGTGACTAAGTGAACAACAAAAACACGCTTAAATGCGTTGATTCGTGTAATCGTACGAGAAAATAAAATATTTTTTTTCTGTTACTTTGCATATAATTAATAACCAGTTGAGAATTATCATTAATTACGTGAAACGAGCTATTTATATAAATTAATAGTTTTTGCACTATGGACACGAAATTTACATGTTTGATTGATTAATTATTGATATTAATAGAAGAATTACGTAAATAGAAATTTTTAACAAATTATTATTCGAATTGTCTGTTTTCCGCGTATTTTTTTTGTTTCTTATTTATTTAAAATTTGAAAGGAAACATGCACTTTGCTCTCAGAATTGATTGTGAATGTTATGTTTATTACATGTATGGAAGTTTGAAACGTATTTGAATCAAGTAGGTCTTAGTTCAAAAGTCAACGATGACAGAAACAAAACAATGGCTAAATGCGCCTCTTCCTAATCGTAGAAGAAGAACACTTGTCTTCTTGTCTTTATCTTAGCACAACTGAATGATATGATGTAACGACACAAACGAAGAAGCACCACAGCACTTACTGATCGCAACTGCAAATAACCATATCACTGTTATTGTCCACACTCGTATAACATCAAGAAGAAGTGATTAACCGAAATCGATAGTAACTGGATGAAACGCACTTGGTTTTGGTTTTTAACAAATATATTTTTGCTGTGTTATTGAAGTCCGCCCATTGGCATCTTCAAGAACTGACTGGTGTGCTCTGATTACGTTCAGCTTTCAGAATTTATCAGTTATCAGTTGACCTCGTGCCAGCACATACATATACGTACGTATTTTTTTAATAAATTTCCTACTTGTTGATAACAGCGAAAGGGACGTTCGTGTAACGGGGAGAAAAACCTCTTCGCAATGTCCGAGCGGATCGGGAAAAAACTGTCTGCGAATCATATAGTATTATCGCTGATTACGTAAATCACCGTAAATCGCTGATAGTGTATTCAAACTTTGCTCTCTTTTCATACAACTACAATCGCATCTGTTAGACATCAGGAGGATATGTGTAATTGACATTAATCTTCCTTTTTATCTCTTTAATTGATTTTTATTATTGTTGCAACGAAAGAACGCAGTCATTATTCATTTAAGACTGAACAAACTCGAATCCTTAAAGAAATAACAAACAAATATTTGAAATAAAATTAATAAATTGTTAATAATTTGATAATGTTGATGGATTATCATTATTTAATTACGACGTAACAAAGGAGAATCTTTATAGGAAAAAAAGTGGTTTAAATCAGGGGGGGTAAAAAGTGAATTCTTAGGGTTAATACAATTAGCAAATATAATTCCCGTCAAATTGGATATTTTACGTCAGAATTTTTTTTTTGGAGTAATAGGTAAAACAGTTCTCCAACTCCTAGTTTAAATTGTTGGATATCAGTAAATAATTGTTCATTATTTTTAATTATCTTGAAATTTTTGTTTTTCACTGCGTTTAATAGTTTAGAAAATACATAAATACTACAAAATAAGGCAAATTATACACATTTTCATTGCAAAATACTATAGTTATTAATAGGAAGAAACCGAAGTTTTTCCGCCTAGAGACATAAAAAAACATATAAATTGTCACAATAAATGATGCAAAAAAATGTATTCTGCAAAGAAAGTGAGACGTACATATATGTAAATATAAAAAAGATGATATTATAAATTTAACTAAATAAAAGTAAATCTTCTCGAAATGAAACAAATAATAATTAATTGTGTGGCATCATTCGGTTGGAGAATGATATAATTCGTCCGGACACGGTCTATCCTCCCTTCATGATAAAAGACCCGGCAGTCCCCTAATTCATATTCGCAGGAGACTCACGCTCCGGGTCATTCACGTCAAACATCAAACTAAACATGATGTCCCGAAAAACAGTCGTGATTTCAACGTTTATGAAAAATCTCTTCAAGCGCTGCAGCAACTCTGCGCGATTTTCTGCGTTCTTTTGCAAATGTAACTTTTTAATGTAAGTGTTAACTATGTGGTCATGTTAATGGCTTGTGTATTCTGCTGTACTGTTGCTCACTCGTCTTTTTATTAAGTTGCCTTATTTTGATGTTAGGTATACCCGGACATAAATAATAGATAATATTATATGTGATAATTTATTCTTTTTAATTAAGTTTAGAAATTTTAGAATTTTCTGTGTTTAGTATACAAAAAGAAACATATTTATTATACTAGTATAAAAAAATCTATTTTTATGGGCAGATTTATAAATATTATAATTTATTGTTGTAATAAATGTTATAGTAATTAATAATATTATCACATATAATGTATGTAATCATAAATTTTATTTTTTATAATCCTAATAGTGTTTCTTAAATTAAATAGTTTGGATTATACAAATATAAGTTATAAAACCATAGAATTTATGCAATTTTGATTTTTGACTTTTTTTCATAAACAAAAGAAATTGTATGAATTTTTGTAAAACTATTGTAACATTCAACAGTTTAGAATTAGTAAAGAGTTAACACCTCAATCAATAAATTTGTAGGATGAGATATACATGGACCCTCTATCGAAAAATATGATTTTTAGGAAGTACCAACCTTCAGACGACCCCCTGTCAAAATTTCAAGACAATCTGACGTTTAGATCACAAGTTACAGTGACGCAATTTTTGTAATTTTCAAAATCTGAATTAGGTGTGTTGATAAAACATTACTTTTTGATATAAAAATATACCGTTCATGCAAATCAATGTCTTGATAAGTGTTATGGGGACTCTTCTCCGTCGAGACAAATGATATAGACGTGGTTTGCCGATTTTAAACGCGTATAGATACAAAGGATGCTCTGGTCGACCAAATTCGGCAATTGTTGCAGAAAACATAAAAAAGTCCATAAAATTGTTTTTGCCGATCGTAAATTGATGTTTCATGATATAGCTTACAACTTGAAGATATCAGAAAGCAGTTTATTCATCATTTTACATGAATATTTGATCATGAGAAAGATTTGTTCGAGCACAAAGTATACCAAGAACAACGAGTTGATGCGAAATAAAAAGGATTTATTCATACGGTATGTAACAATGGATGAAACCTGGATCCAACACACTCAAATCAATCATCAGCTGAGTGGACAGCAAAGGGTGAAAGCCGTAATTTGAGATTAAAGGTAAATCGTTCTACAAGAAACGTTTCTAAATGAGAGAAGCGTTGGTATGAATGTGAAGGAGACTATGTTCATGAATTGGTCACCCTACAAACTTATTGAGTAAGGTGTTAAGTGCGGCTCCCAAGATTTTTTATCTTAAAAAATGGCTTTTTGTTACAGAACATTGCTGATCACTCGTTTAAAATATAAACAATACAAATTTTTTTATCATTCTGAAGAAATTTTAATGACCAAGAAATTAAATTTTTTGTAAAATTTATTTGATATTTGCTACGTTCAGTAGTTTAGAATATACAAAAGAATATAATAGTACAAAATAGATCAATAGTTCAAGGTATATGCATTCTTTCTAAATGAATACTTATAAATATAAAAATATAAATTTTGAAATTTGAAATGTTAATCTTTGTAATTATTGTTAAACTATTGTTTTTTGCTACACAAAATAATTTAAAACATAAAAGACACAGACAGAATATAAATGAATATATATATATATATATATTTGCTCATATACTTAAAAATATAATGATTAATAAAATTAATAACAATGTTAATTTAAAAAAAAATGGTTAGTAATTTTTGTAAGAATTTGTTGCGTTTAGAATATAAAAATTAAGAAAAAAAATAGTAACCAAAAATTTGATGTTTCAAAATTGTTTATAATACAAAAAATAGAAATAATATTTCTATATTGGACAGAAAGACCTATGGTCAATAGCCCTTTGTATCAATAAACTTTTTTGAAATTTTATATATTTATTTTGTTTTTTTATTTCTGCATATGTTTTTTTGTACGATTAATAATAATAATAATTTATTGGCCAAATATCAATACATAAGAAAAAAAAGTGCATTCTATACATAAATAAATTCTTACATAACATAAAAAAATATATTAATAGGCTAAAGGGCTAACGACCGAGGTCTTTCCGTCCTATTATTTCTATAAAACTTCAAATGTTATTACTGAAATTGAAACTAATTTGTATTTACTACGTTGTATAGTTTAGAATTTTAAAAAAATAATGAAATAATAATTTAATTATTGTATGTACAAATTACAAATTTGATTGATGATGCAACTATTACTGTTTGCTGATACTTTGATTAATTGGTTTATTTTGAAAAATATGATCTTTGTCGTTTTCAATGTTACAAATTCTCTTCCTTTGCATTTATTTGGTGTTTTTATATTAAAAATAGTTTATAATATACAAAATTTAAATAATATTTATATAACACTTCAAGTTTTCTTATAGAAAGTGAAACTATTTTGTATTTACTACATTAACACGTTAAGGACGGCGCTTTTCAAATATCTTACGCCAATTATAACATTTAAACCTTTAAATTTTTCTTATACATTTTTTTAATGATATTGAAGCAATTTATAATAATTGTGGGAAAAATATTGAAATTTTCATAAAGTTGTTACATATTGCGCACAGTGTTATGATCAACCGACACTGTGTATCAAATGTTTTGAAGATGTTCATAAAAATAAATAAACATTTCTATTATTGAATGATCCTATTTTATTTTTGTTATATTCAATAAATATACTCAACAGGGTTCGAATTTTATTGAAACGCGGAAAAAGTGCTATAGGTTTTATAATAAGCAATAATAATAATTGATCATTGCAATTTCTATTCAAGTCGAGATATATCATCATTGTGCTCTAAGCTTGTATTGTATTTGAATAAATTAGCAATGTTTTTTTTAGAAACAGAAATAATATCTGCTTCTGATAATCATATTGTATTTTCAATGCCTTTGCGCTTCGATTAC